AACATACAAATATACAAACATACAAACATACATTGGATTTTATATATATAGATTAAAGTATTAAAGTATAGCCCAGTAAACAAGCTTTTGTATTCTAAAAAAAATACACAAATTACCATTAGCCGCCTCCAAACAAAACAGCTGTTACAACCCTACTTGCGATGTTGCTACTTCGAAGGCCGCGGCCTGGAGTTAAAGGTGGCCGTGAACCAACAACACGTGTGTTTTATCAATGGCAATACTTCTAATCCCATTATAAATTTTGAAGCTTATTTTCGTGTCTATAGTTCATGTTCGGTGACCCTGACCACTAGTGTCGACAACATTTTGTTTCTATTATTTCAGTGTTAATTTCATAATTTGTACTTTACTGTTTGGTTATAAAACTAGGGACGATTTTTTGTAAAACGAGGTTTTAAATTACTGAAATAACAAGATATATTGTCAACATGATAAAAATTGTAAAACTAACAATAACATTATCTTCAGCTGATCCAAGGAAATGGTACAGTATATCTCTTCTATATGGCAATATAAAATTCGCTTAGTCATAACATAGATAAAACCAGAGTATGTTTCATCTATGACTAGCTGGCCCGACAGACGTCGTCCTGTCCCATTGTGGTTTTATGTCACATGCTCGTTCATTTTCAAGATGAGCTCGTTCGCATGGCTCAATCACGTCCTGGTTGAAGTTCGTTCGCCACGCTCACTCACCTTTAGGTTGGAGCTCGTTCGCTGCGCTCACTTGCCTTCAGGTTAGCTCGTTCGCTACGCTAACTCGCCTCCAGGTTGCCTTTGGTTGCAAATTAACTGTTCTCATAAATTAAAAATAAATATAGTGCTGCACCCTGTTGGTAAACCTATTAACTTTTTAATGCTATTGAACATCACAGAATCAAATTGTTTAGTTGCACCATCTGTTAAGATTCTTTAATTCCATTTAAATATGAGTACTCATAAGGTTAACATGGGAAACTCCAGAGCCACTGGGGCGGAGCCTTATTGACGGATCTGCACCTAACTTCACACAAACCATCCTTGAATAATGGTTAATAATGGCTGAAAGTTTCATTACAATCTGTCGAGCAGTTTTGGAGTCCATAAAGGACAAACATACAAATATACAAACATACATTGGATTTTATATATATATATATAGATAAAACATACTGTCATAATTAAGGTTTGATGAGAGGGTAACATAATTTTTGTAACCCATACATTTTTGTAAAGAAGAAAAACAAATAATTATTTCTAATATTATTATACAGTTGAACCTCGATAACAAGATCGGGGACAGCTCACTTACTTTACAGATCATAGTCTATACGAGCTTTGTAAATAACTAGTGTCCCTGTTGCTCGAATTCGAGCAATTGCTAAGTATTACCATAGATAAAACATACTCCCTTAGTAGATTTCTCATCCTTATGGAACAGCTGAAGACAATTTTATTGTTAGTTCATGTACGGTTTATGTAGAGGTCGTGTTTTGTTTACAATTTGTTTCCCGTTGTTACAGCCATTTAAAACCTCGTTTAAACAAATAATACGGTCTAATCATAAACAATAACTTGTCCCCTAGTTATATTTAACCATAGACTAACCAACACAAGTAGACTTCTCATCCCATTGTAAATTTTGAAGCTCGTTTTTCATGTCTAGTTCATGTACGCCACACTGGGCACTAGTGTCGACGAAATTTTGTTTCTATTATTTTAGGGTGAATTTCTTGATTTGTGCTTTACTGTGTGGTTATATAACTAGGGGACAGGTTATTGTTTATGATTAGATCGTATTATTTGGTTAAACGAGGTTTTAAATGGCTGTAATAACGGGAAACAAATTGTAAACAAAACACGACCTCTACAGAAAACCGTACAGAACTAACAATAAAATTGTCTTCAGCTGTTCCATAAGGATGAGAAATCTACTAAGGGAGTATGTTTTATCTATGATTTAACCAAACAGTAAAGCACAAATCAAGAAATTAACCCAAAAATAATGGAAACAAAGTTTCATCGACACTAGCACCTTTGTGTCACGTACATGAACTAGACACGAAAAACGTGCTTCAAAATTTACAATGGGATGAGAAGTCTACTATGGTATTACCATAGACATAGATAAAACATACTCCCTTAGTAGATTTCTCATTCTTATGGAACAGCTGAAGACAATTTTATTGTTAGTTCTGTACTGTTTTCTGTAGAGGTCGTGTTTTGTTTACAATTTGTTTCCCATTATTACAGCCATTTAAAACCTCGTTTAACCAAATAATACGATCTAATCATAAACAATAACCTGTCCCCTAGTTATATAACCAAACAGTAAAGCACAAATCAAGAAATTAACCCTAAAATAATAGAAACAAAGTTTCGTCGACACTAGCGCCCATGTGTCACGTACATGAACTAGACACGAAAAACGTGCTTCAAAATTTACAATGGGATGAGAAGTCTACTTGTGTTGGTTAGTCTATGCCATAGACTAACCACAATCTTCAACCAAGTCAGCAAATATTTGTAGCAAACTGTTTTATTAGCAAACTTATTGACTGTTTACAATTAACCTATGCTCTTCTTCTGGGTCTGACTTAGGGGAGGTACGAATGAGGCATTTAGTTCAAAATTCCTCCGTGAACAGCGCTGTAGTAAAGAGCACTTTGGCAATGAAGGTTAACTAATCGCAAAAATAGTTCTGTTCATAAAATAAAATTATAAATGCCTCAAATTCAATTTTATTATTTTTTAATTATAAAATTAAACTATCATAACCTAACCGAACTAACCAAACTTGCTGATAAAGAAAATATAACAAAAGTGTAGTAATCGGAAAAATAATTCTGTTTATTAAATAAAACTAGAAATTGCTCAAATAAAATTTTTTAATGACTAAATAATAAAATGAAATTATAATAACCGAACCAAACCAACCAAACTTGCTGATAATAAAAAATCTTGGACAAAAAGTTTAATGAAACCAGCGGGATTCGAACCCGGGACCTACAGTATATCAGTCCGGCACGCTATCCATTAGACCACCTAGGACGATGGCTACCGACCGTTTTGTTACGGTAAAGACGTTCCCTCAGCTAAAAAGAAGCCCACAGCTGTCATCGTATCCTCTTCTATACCTCCCCTGAGTAAATACCTCTTCTTCTCACTTTTGATTTCTGACAACAGCTGGAGTTTCATAACAATTTTTCTTTCCCATGTTAATCTTATGGAGAAATAAGACACTTTAAAGGGCTCCAGGGCCTCACTCTCTCATTATTTCCCTAAAAAGAAAGTTTCCTGCACAACTTCACGCTACGCTCTTTCCAATGACACCAAAAACATGACAATCGGTTCAGTAGTTTCGGAGGAGTAATTGTCACAAAAGATCTGCTTGCGTATTAAATAAGTACTATAGTTCGGCCGCTTAGAAAGCGACCTCCTCTAGCATTGGTTTAGCATTAGCGCGCAGGTCGTTTTCTAAGCGGCCGAACTATAGAGGTCGTCCAGTGGTCGAAAACTCGACCATAAATATCGAATGTACAGACTTCTCTGTTTTCACCCCACGCTTTAAATAAAACATGTGTTTGGAATTTCTTCCATTTGTTTTGATTTTCTGTTTATATTTCGTTACCAGCATGGCAACCTTTAAAGCCCATGTTAATTTTTTTTTAAATTTCAAACTCATTTTTTGTGCTTATATTTGAGCCTATTTGAATTTTTAAAGGGATTCTGCACTTCTACAGGAAAATATCTTTCTAACGGTATGCGCAGATTTTCCCTGCGATGTACACGAGCTGAGAAAAAAGGGTTTAAAGAAACATGCTCGCCTATTAATATATAGATAGATAGATAGATATTATATATAGTATATATAATAGAAGGTTCACTTGCACTACAGGCTCGTATACTATACAAGCCGATCGAAGATATAAAACAAATGAAGAGGGTTCACTTACTCTACAGATCATAGTCCCTATGAGCCTCGTGTCTTATATTAAAAAAAATACAGTAGGAAGGTTCACTTACTCAATGAGCAATGAGCCAAGCGTACGAATTATTTTATAATTCAGAAATCGGCTCGTATATTATACGAGCCTATTCTGTAAAATATATAAATTCAGTATTTTGGCTCATATACTAAACGAACTTATTCCTGAATTGAAAAAATAATTCATACGCTTGGCTCATATGCACTATGATCTGTATAGTAAGTGAATCCTCTTCATTTATATTTGATATTTTCGAGAGCCTGTAGTGCAAGTGAACCTTAATATTATTTACGAGGCTCGTATAGACTATGATCCGTAGAGTAAGTGAGCCATGTGTCACATATTTGAATTACATATTTGGAGGCTCATAGTGTCTATGATTTGTAGTGTAAGTGAACCCTAACCCAAGATCCTCGATAAGAAGTCACCTTTATCAAGTGTTATTTTTAAACCCCCTAGCATTTATTTTACTTTTACCCCTAATCACATGTTATTGCAAACCTCGGTAAGAAGAGAAGCTTGATAACAAGTCTTACTTTATAATCTCCATGAGAGTCTGGTTATCAAGGTTTTACTTTTACTGTATAATTATTTCTATAACTTCTTTCAGATTCCTAGTTCCTACCGCTTTATATTCTCCAAGAGCTAAGGAGGCCGTCACCCATCAGGGGCGTCAGGCCGTGGTAGAGCCGGGTAGAGCTCGTTACCGTTGCTGCCTCCGGATAAACGTCACTATTGCCAACAGCGCACTCTTCCGGTTTGTCGAAACGAAAAATAAGGTTAAAGGTTGGAATTTGGAAAGGCAAATAATTCTTATTGACGGTTGTCAGACGTCACTGAATAATTTTGTGCATCAGATTCGGCCTCAAAACTATTTTTAATGTAAGTTAAATTATAAAAATAGTTTCTAGTTTTATTTTAAATTCGAAAATCTAGAGTGAATTTGTATTTTTGTGTATTACGCTTGCTGCTAACTTATGGCCTCTTCTTCAGTGTCATCTTTGCTTTCCTCGTCTATTAGAATATAACTGATTTTCAATAAACAAATTATATTCCGAGTATACATGATGTAATAAGAATACTTAAGTTTGCATTTCGATTAGTTTAATTTAATCTTAACTATCACGGATTGATTTACAGTGTGGTTTAGTAGACTTAAATAGTCTTGTGGGTTACTTGTATTGATCACAAAGGAAGGAAACTGATCTAAAGCTGCTGAATCATGTTTAGCGTTTTTACACGAGTTTCTACATGTCTGTGATTCTACTGGTCTATTAAGCTACTTATATTGTTCAACAGTATTTGTTAGGTCGTTAAATTCAATTTGAAGCCAGAAAAGGGCTCAATTGAGGTTATAGGTTATGTTTGATTACTTTAGGGCTTGGCAAGGGGCCCAGCTTAGTTGGTTTGGTCGTCTCACGTAAGGTAAATTACTATATCTTGTTGTTAATTATTCAGTATGTATTGGAATAGGATGTAATTTTTAGATGTCTAATTACAGTTTTTCTCATGCTGGATCTAAAAGTCAGTGAGATTTGTAAGTGGCCATACAATTAAATAATTTAGTTAGACTTTAGTTTACGTCCTACATTTACTATTATACATTATAAGTTACATTAACTACCAGCTAATCTATATAATTAAATACGCTACCTACATGAAACTTTGTCGGTTGAACTCCTCTGCCATTTCTTAACCGATTTTATCCATTTAGTCACTAACAAGACTACAAGATCGCGCCACTCATCCTACACTCATCTTCATTCATACTTGGCTTAAAATACCGGTACCTACTATGTATGGTCGCCATTTCATTGAGCAGTATTAACAGGCCATTGACGTCTCATTGGAAAGAGCCTGTCGCGTAGATTTGCAAACTGACCTTACATTTTTTTTAAAGTCCCTTGGGCTCTGCCCCAGTGGCTGTTAAAGTTCCAATGTTATCCTTATGAAGAACTAGCTGTACCCACAGGCTTTGCCCCGTTAAACTTCATAAGTATTCGCATGGCTCAATCACGTCCCGGTTGAAGTTTGTTCGCTACGCTCACTCACCTTTAGGTTGGAGCTCGTTCGCTGCGCTCACTTGTTTTCAGGTTAGCTCGTTCGCTACGCTAACTCGCCTCCAGGTTGATGTTCGTTCGCTACGCTCACTCACCTTTTGGTTGCAAATAAGCTGTTGTCATAAATTTTAAAAAGTCATCCCTTTTATTGTTTATAATACTTTGATAAAGGTTTTTATGTTTTAATATTTAACATTGGAGTATTTAAACGTTGTTAAGTGCACAGGTGTGCTGCGATTGGGGTTTAATACATTTGGACTTATTCAAAAGTAAAATAGTTTTCTGTGCTGCACTCTGTAGAAACACTGTGGCACTATTTCAAATCATGACTAATGCTAATACAGAATGTTGTAATTATTCAAACCTACAACACAGTTGGTGAAAGTAAACATCTGCTTTTAAATTATATTTATTTGTAAACATTGTAGATCAAAAAGTCTGACATTGGCCCACTTAAAACCCTCTGGGGCAGAGCCCTTTTGACAGATCTGCACCAAACTTCACTCGAACCATCCTTGAAAGATGCTTAATAATGCCTGAAAGTTTCATTACAATCTGTCGAGCGGTTTCGGAGTCCATAACGTATATACATATATATATTTATACACACATACATAGTTCCTCTTTTATAGATATAGATGTTATTGTTTACATTTTGATCAGCTGTATAGTTTAATTGTTGTTATTTATTTTTCAATTCAATGAAACGCATTGGGTACATTTACTGATTTTGTTGAAATTAAATATTTACCATTTTAATTTACATTCGTAGGCCTACATATTACAATGTAAAAAATCGAGAAAGCCTGGACAATTTGATATATTTTACCAAATAAGAAAAATGAATTGACATAGTACTGTATTTCTTGAGAAATCATTGAAAAAACCGCTTTGTTAACCATGGAAATATAGCAAAGTCATAGAACGAACACCACCAAGTAGAAGAAATAGGGATTTTAAAAAAATTAGGCCTACTATCGTTATCTAAATATATAAAAGGCAAAGCCCTCACTGACTCACTCACTCACTCACTCATCACTAATTCTCCCACTTCCCATTTACCTAGGAGGCTGAAATTCGGTACACCGATTCTTTGGGCATTAAATAGGAAAACTAAGTAGTTTTTATTCTGATCGGGCTTTCGGGCTCCGCCCCAGTGGCTCTGGAGTTTCCCATGTTAACCTTATGAGTACTCATATTTAAATGGAATGAATGAATCTTAACAGCTGTTTCAATTAAACAAGTTGGCTCTGTTCTATGATGTTCAATAGCATTAAAGTTACAAGGATTACCAACAGGGTGCAGCACTATTATTTCTTTTACATTTATGACAACAGCTAATTTGCAACCAAAAGGTGAGTGAGCGTAGCGAACGAACTTCAACCTGGAAGCGAGTTAGCGTAGCGAACGAGCTAACCTGAAGGCAAGTGAGCGGAGCGAACGAGCTCCAACCTAAAGGTGAGTGAGCGTAGCGAACGAACTTCAACCAGGACGTGATTGAGCCATGCGAATGAGCTCACTTGTGAAGTTAAACGGGGCAAAGCCCGCGGGTACAGCTAGTCAACCTATATAAATCAAATCAAATCATTTATTATCATGGACATTTACATGCATTGACATTGTCAGTGGAGCAGAACATAAAATTTCAATGTTCATTGTTGTCTAAATAATCAGAGGTAACTTGGGTATGAGTCTATGTTGTACAACTTCCTTTTAACTACAGGGTTAACAATCACAATAGACTATAAACAATGTCAGTGGAGCAGAACATAAAATTTCAATGTTCATTGTTGTCTAAATAATCAGAGGTAACTTGGGTATGAGTCTATGTTGTACAACTTCCTTTTAACTACAGGGTTAACAATCACAATAGACTATAAACAATTTAACAAGTTATGAATAATTAACAAAGTTGAAGAAAACAAAAATAGACTATATAGAAATAATTAACAGATTTGGATACAAAGTTACAGACGTATCACAGGTTGTTCCAGGAACTCTTCAATACTGTAAAAAGGATTTCTTAAGAGTCAGTCACTGAATTTTTTTAAAAATATTTTTTGTGGATACTTATTTACAATAATAATTACCTTATTATAAGCTTTCTTACACATAACAACATGGCTATTTAAAGATTTGCTTAAACGGAGGTGCTGGTAACTTATTTGATGTCTACCACGAGTATTGTAGGGATGTACTTCTATATTCAGGACCATGACTGGTAGTTTTTTTTAAGAATAAATAACAAGTTCTAAACATAAAGGTTAATAACAGTAAAAATCTTTAATTAAATAAAAATAGGCCTATAATGAAGAACACCTACAGCTACAATATGATGATTCCCACAAACAATGAACAAGGATGTTAGCCGAAGTGCTACTATTTTGTAGGGAAACATGGACTTAAAACTTTATGATGATTGGCAAAGGAAACCCCTCTAAGTCTGAATTAAACTGGTACGGCAAGGACATTAGGCTAATCATTAAATATATGTTTCCATAAAAGTCAAATGATTTTAAAAGAATGTGACTACATCCAAGAAACCTTAATACAACTTTCATTGAAGGATTCACATTATTCACATTATTATTCACATTTAAGGGAAACAAAAAGCCATCTGTACGAGTATGACATTAGGCCTTTCAATTCTGCAATTTTTTCAGGTAGGTAGGCCTAAATATAATTTACGATATAACAGTAACTAGCCAAATGAATGCCAATTGATGCAAATAAAATTGCGACATAGAGGTTATGCAGAAAATCAGGTAGCCTAGTTCTTAGTCATGTAAACAATATGTTATCGCTAAAAAAAAATTGACTGAAATTTGTAAACGTACTGGAGACAATGGGTGGTACCATGCAGACTACATTATCATTGACGAAGATCAACGTGGGCAACCTAATACGGCTATCAGTGGTAAACATTTAAAAACCCAGATCAGCTATTGAAAAATGAAAAAATATTTACAAGAAATTTCGATTATATGGAACTGTTAGGTATGTATACTCTATGAGTTGAGTTGTTTAAACTCATCGGAAATTATGATGACTTTTATTTATTTTTAAATAACTACTTCTTTGCAATTGCTCGATTTCGAGCAACGTGTACATTAAGCTGGGTTTTCCTAGGCGCGGAGTCGGCCAGCGGAGAGAGGAACGCGGAGAGCGGAATTGAAATTAACATGGCATTCCGCTCCGCTTCTAGGAAAACAGTAACATTAAATTGCCTAAGACAAGCTGAGTCCGCTCTCCGCGTTCCTCTCTCCGCTGGCCGACTCCGCGCTTAGGAAAACCCAGCTTTAGTTATCTGTTCCAAACCTAACCTTAACCAAACTGCAGTATGTGAGTTAATGTAGGACGTAAACAAACTTAAAGTGCAGCCAAATAATTAATATAAAGTTTCAGTTTCGTTGAGTTAATTCAGATATTTGTGGTTTGGACGAGTCCAAGTTCTAGCGGCGACTAACACTGAAAGGGGAGGATGGTTTGTGGAGTGGAAACAGTGCCATAGTGCATAATCCACAATCCCACAGTACCTACAATTTAAAACGTACCGTAGTGCATAATTTGGTAATTATTTACTCTATCTACATTGGAATACGGTATGATGTAATTTTGAGATGTCTACTCAAATGCAATCAGTTTTTGTTGGAGAGATTCCTAAGTGGCCGTACAGAGTTAAATAATTAATGTCAAGCTTAAGTTTTATTGATTTATTCACATATTTGTGGTTTGGACGAGTCAAAGTTCTAGAAGCAACACTGAAAGAGGAAGTCAGATCATGGCACTGTCAAAAAACTTCCAAACCAGCTGTTACAGTTATTATAGACATTTGGGCCAGTGACGTGATTTGTTTTATGTTAAAATCCATACCATTTTTAGTAAATTTCCCTTAGGGGAAGTAGCTATTACCGTAGGCGGCTCTGTAAGACTTAGGCCCGGAACCAATTTACTTTTTCATTTTAATGTCCTTAATAATTTTTTTAATAATAAAAGTTTATTAAAAGTTGTTTTAAATAGTTAGGCCTACTGTTTAAATAGTTCAGTTTTTATAGTACGGTAACCCAAACCCTCCTTAAACTGATGGTCCTCCTAAGACGCCTCTTTCTACAAAACAGGTCTCGTAGTTGAGAACTGTCTGTACCTCTTCTAAATGTCATGCAGTAAACGTTCATTGCATTTTATTTGCTATAGCCTATTTTACTGAATTATCATACAAAATATTATTCAAACGACTAGGAATTAGAAATATATTCTGGATATTTCTTTGACATTTGGTTTATGAAATTACTCTTGATTTATATTTTTGACAGTCTTTCCTGTCCTTTCCGCCTTGCCAATTTTAAACTAGGCCTATTTTTTTCTACAGATATATCATGTTTTTGTGGGATTGGTTCACCGGAGTTCTTGGATATTTAGGTAAGTTATTATTTACTTTTAAATTGTACTATTTACATAAGTAATAAGTTTATCCTTCATTTGATATAACCTTCATTGTATATATTATCATTAAGTAGTCCAAGGTCTTAATAGGCCAACTGTAAGGCTAACATTAGGGAAGATCTCCATGATCGGATGTTATACGTTGGATTACAATAAACTTCTTCAGAGGAAGAAGAATCTGTTGGTCCAAGAGCAATTCAATCCAGATTATGAATATCACAACCCAAATGCATGTAGATGGCCTGGAACTTTTCATAGTACTGGGTTTGAGCAGTTTATATTTATCTGGGTAACTTTTTTGGTATTTAAGGCTGCTGCTTGATGTTCTTTTAGAATATTTTTTGTATAGTTTTTGCCGAGTATGTCTAGTAAACCTGGCATTAAATTTTTGCTAATTCAATTATATTTTAATGATTTCTAAAGGGTTTTAGTTAAATTAGTGTGTATTATCGTTTCACTAAGCTATACCGATATTTTAAAGTAACACCCCATCAACATTTTTCAGTAAAATAGTAAAATTCAATCTTCCAGCTTTATGATTTTCATTTCCAAATCTTGTCTACATTTCTCCATGAAAAAAACTTCTCTTCTAAGACATATATTATAAAACTCAACCTAGTCAACTTTTAATTCACGTAATTTCGGCAAAATGTGAACACAGCTCATAATCAGCAATATTACTCTTCTACACTTGCATGGTTGTTATTGTATGACATTAAGTTCTTCCCAATGATCCAAATCATATTATGCCAATAATCCCACAAATCTCGGACATTCGTTCTTGATTTTCAAACAATTTCTTTGAATGTCATAGAAAAAAGCTAATACCAACCCTTACTATACTGTAGATGAACGTTAACTCTACGTAGGAATAACCTCAGAGACTGACTATTCCACTATTTTCATAATGTAATATTAGTTACTTGTATTCAAGCTTATAATTTAGTACAAAAACAAATAGGTAGTGAGAATATAGGCTATTTAAAACACAAAATTTCTTTCAAACTATTAGTAAACATAATTATGCAGTGAAATAAATTTTTCACCACTCTATGATATTTTTAGCTTTTTTGCATACGTTAATTGGTGGCTGAAAGTTACGTTTTGCTAGCCATGCCAGCTGTTATCGTCATTTGGGGACCGAGCAGGTTTTTACATCCCTAGGGCTGCAAAATCAGCTGCCCGCTTACTTTCATAAAACATGAATGCATAATTAAATACGTACAATCAGTATCCATAGCATTGCAATAGAATTGTTTTATTGTCACCGCTGCCTAGCAACTATTTATTATTATTTTTGCTGATTCCTCAAATTATTTCTTCACATAACCTTAATGTTGTAGTTGTGTTGACTATCAGTGTGCATTATTATTGTGGTGAATAGTGGTAAGGTATAGTGTGGTGAAAAATAGCGTTCGTACCACGGACCGAAATGGTTTTGCAGCTCTCGATCGTTTTAAGTTCTCGACTTCGTCTCGAACTTAAAAACTATCTCAAGCCAGCAAACCCTGATTTTCGGCCCTAGGTACGAAATATACTATTAAATAAAAAGAATAAAACATTTTATTTTAACAAATTTAGTGAGTGTTTATAACACATGTTTTCTTGGCCTGTAATTTCAGTTCTAACAGCTGTTTTATAATGTAAAAAAATATTTTCTCATAAGAATAGCATGGGGAGGGAACTTAAAAGGCCACTGGGGCAGAGCCCCAAGGGAATTTATCTCGTTTCTCTTTTGATGGTTCATCTACAGATCTTTCCTTTGATACCTCTACCAAGTTTCTACACCCAGCTGTTCTCTCAAATTAGTGTAAAGAAACAAAACAGTTTTCAATAAAATATACAAATGATTTTATTAGTGGAAATAGATACTTGAAACATAAATCTTCACTTACAAAATGTAATTTTCCACCAAAAGAAAATATGTCAGCTAAATTACCAGTCTATAGTCTTTCATAATCTAAATGAATAAGTTTTAAAGTGTATTCGTTTAACAATAAAATAACAGATTTTAACCATTCACCAGAAAATGTTGAACGCCTTTGTAAAATACAAATTACAATGACATAACGTGGAAGGTTGAACGTCATATCATTCAGCTGTATGTTGTCCTTGAGATAACAACTACAAGATCATCTTGACTTTGGGCAGTTGTCCTTCACATGCTGACTGGCAACTTTACACCGCCAGAACGCAAAAAATTAAAGAGCTTAACTTCAATTATCACACCCAAACGAAAATACTAGAATAACTTTATTAAATAAGTTTTCTGAAATATTGCATGTTTAAATAAACTACTTAAATAATAACTAGCAAGACAGAGGTTTGATGTAATGCAGTCCAAAAAAATTCAATTGTTACATTTTTTTCCCTGCTTACGGTCAAAGGGTCATAGTAAATACGCCTAGACAACTTCATTGACAAACAATTCTCGTTCTTTATAAAGATGGGTTTAAATTTGTTTGTTTCCGTCATGATTAAAGTTCCTTCTATTTATATTACAGTTACATTATCATTACTTTAAAACAGCCATGCACATCTAGGTGTGGGTATTTTAAGCCTTATATAAAGATACTCTTTTACTACAAGTTGATTTGACTTTCTCCCCCTACCCTCTACTATAGTATATGGAGAAAGTATTGTTTTCGTCACAAATTTTCTAGTTTGCGTTTTGGGTGGATCCGTTTTGGGTCCCCCTGGACCCAAAAAAGTGGTTTTCGAAGTGATGTCTGTGTGTGTGTCTGAGTACAGAGCTACAGACCACACCTGTGGTCCGATTTTGATTAAATTTGGTATGTAGGTTCTAATCCATAGTACCTCTAGGCATTTTTTTCACTCTTTAGAAATTTTTATTTTTAATGGTGATTTTCTCATAAAAACAGAAAAATCTGACTATCTCAAAAACGGCCTGAACGATTTTGATAAAACCTTAGTATGTTATAGCCCTTTAGAGTCTGAAGAAAATGGCGTAACTCCCATTGCTTAAAAAATTACGGTTAAAAAGTTATTGTAACTTTTGTTATTTTCTCATTAAATCCCCATAAAATAACGGAAAATCAATTTGAAAAAGTGCTGGTTTTGGTCGTGGTTGTTCGTGTACATAGAATAAAATTATGACCAAATAAGTAATAGAAAAGTATTTTAATAAGAGTTAAATTGTGTGTACATTCCTGTAGAAAAACAAAGATCAGACTAACTTAATGCGTTGCTATGACAACGTCATCAGCTGACGCTACACCTTGATTAAAATTAGTATGTTATGGTCATTATAGTTCTAAACAGTATAGTGTAACCCACCATTGCTGTAACATTTACGGTTTAAAAGTTATTGCAACTTTTGTGATTGTTCCTATAAAATATCATAGGCCTACCCTGATGCCTAACCTGCATTCATGATATAGGTTGTTGACAAGCTAATGGGAGAAAGTAGTGTCAGATTGCTGATACTGTTTATTTTATAAACCTACCACACTTTCAGTATTTATAGTACAAACTCAGAACAAATATTATACCTGTTACCATTGACTTTTTATTTTATGGACCCACAGTCATAGTAGCCATTACTAATGAGCTAACCACAGAGTGTGCTACAGTCCAAAATTGTATTTTCTCCCTTAGTTTTTGTTACTGTGATAGTTGATGTTACATAGTGAATGTTCTATTACAATAATTTGTCTATTCTGTTTTAAAATGTTAACATAGACTATTCAGCAGAAGTCAGTAATTTTCATCAGCATTCTATCTGGGAAGTTCAATTTTAAATTTGGTTTATTTTCACTTTAAAAATGGCCTTTACATTTTATATGGCATTTGAATATCTATTTCTGGTCATAGTCAAATCTGCTACCTCTATCAATGAGTAAAACAAAACTTTCAAACATATTATTTGTTTAACCTCTTTTAATACTTTCTAGAAATACAGGGTTATTCTAAATGATGGACCCATTTTTAATGCTTTATAATTTTTATACTATTAAACTTACCGCTATAAAATACACATCAAACGAAAATGCAACTCAAAGAGTTTATGCCTTCCAAAGACACATCATTTAACAATATCGATCCAACAGAACTGTAGGTTTAATTGTACAAAGCTAAAAAGTAATCTCCAACTTTTTTTACCACTAGAAATTTGGAAGTTACTTGACGTTTTTGCAAATAACTTTTAAATGGTGAGGAAATCGACCAAAGTGGAAGGTAATATTCCGAAAGAGAATAAAATCTCCTACAATCTACTATTACGCATATCTTGGAAATACTCAATAAAAGTAGCCTAAATTTGGCTTAAAATAAAAAAGTGTGAAATTTAATGTTTGCTATGTTTGTTGTCTACAATTGAAGACGGGGATTTTCAATTTTTTTTCATTTTGAGGCAATTTTTGGTACCTTTCTTGAGTATTTTCAAAAAATGCATAGTAGTAGATTGTAGGAAATTTTATTCTCTTTCGGAATATTACCTTCCACTTTGGTCGATTTCCTCACCACTTAAAAGTTATTTGCAAAAACGTCAAGTAACCTCCAAATTTCTAGTGGTAAAAAAAGTTGGAGATTACTTTTTAACTTTGTACAATTAAATCTACAGTTCTGTTGGATACGTCAAGTAACCTCCAAATTTCTAGTGGTAAAAAAAGTTGGAGATTACTTTTTAACTTTGTACAATTAAATCTACAGTTCTGTTGGATCGATATTGTTAAATGATGTGTCTTTGGAAGGCATAAACTCTTTGAGTTGCTTTTTCGTTTGATGTGTATTTTATAGCGGTAAGTTTAGTAGTATAAAAATTATAAAGCATTAAAAATGGGTCCATCATTTAGAATAACCCTGTATTTTATTTATAGACATTCAGAAAATTAAGAGAAAGAATATAAATTTGTTTTAATCAAGAGTCGTTTATGGGAGTAACTTGCCATGTTTATGTTGAACATATTTGTCAAAGTTGTTTGTTATAAATTAAAATTTGTATTTGCTCAGGTTTGTATAAGAAGTCTGGCAAATTGCTTTTCTTGGGCTTGGATAATGCTGGCAAAACAACGCTGCTTCACATGCTAAAAGATGACCGTCTTGCGCAGCCAGTTCCCACCCTGCATCCAAGTAAGTCTAAGACAGTAATTAATTATATACACCCTGGTTAAAGTCAAAGTCATCTTTATTGTCACATAACGTTTTTTTAAATTCTCTGGCACAGCCAGACAAAACAGGTGACATTGTCAAACTATACTAAAATAAACTAGCTTATTGGTAAAAATAAATACATAGTAACAAAACAAACAATTCACAATGATTTGTCTTCGAGAAACTGATCTATACTATAATAATTCTTTTCCAACAACAATTCAAAACATTTTTCTTTAAAAGATACTAATCCTATTATTGATTTGTAGTACCCAGGCAAATTGTTAAAAAATCTTTAACCCATATAGGAAGGTGTCCTTTCCACAAGATTTAATCTGTGTATAGGATATTGAAAATCTGTATGAAATCTAGTGTTATAATTGTGCCGATTATTTTCACTGTGGAGTTTTTCAAATTTTGATTTCACATACTGTACAATAAAAACCCAGGCAAATTGTTAAAAAATCTTTAACCCATATAGGAAGGTGTCCTTTCCACAAGATTTAATCTGTGTATAGGATATTGAAAATCTGTATGAAATCTAGTGTTATAATTGTGCCGATTATTTTCACTGTGGAGTTTTTCAAATTTTGATTTCACATACAATAAACATTTAAGAATATACAAATTAGGGACGGTTAGAATCTTTAGTTCTTTAAAAAGTTGTTTGCAAGAATGTTTTACGGGTTTAAATGTCATAATTCTAAGTATTCTTTTTTGAAGTTTAAAAAGTTGATACGAATCAGAGGTGACGCCCCAAAGCTCTATTCCATACTGTAAAATTGTTGAAAATAAAGCGTGATAAATCATTCAACAACATTTCTTAAGACCATCATTTAACTTTTTAGAGGTGTTATGAATGTGATTCTTCCAATTCAATAAACTATCTACATCAATTCCTAAAAATTAGCTGTGTTGCTAAGATTTATTTTTTCATCGTCAAAATAAAAAAAATATGGTTACTTTTATTTTTACTGTCTACGTCTGTCACATTTTTCAAGGAGCTATAAAGGAGGTATACAAACGCTTTTTGGAAAGTGGTTCAAAACCATTTAAAGTGTTCCGTGAATTGAACCTGTCCCTCTCGCACCCAAGTCAGAGATGCTAACCACTAGGCTACCAATACATCTATCTATATATTTAATATGCAACATGAAACTTTGTGAACAACTAGTTGTGTGCCCGTTCTACGCACGGGGATCTTATCAAAGTCAGTTAAAACCTTCTTATATTAAGCACAGCAGTTGGTTTGCATACTTTCAGATATGCTGACAAAACTATTATATATAAACCTTTGCAAATACAGTATCTGGCAGTTTCAAGCCAAAACTAATGCTTCGCAATTAAATGTCACCTGGATCTTGTTGGTCCATATGTTAAATCCAATCGTTAAACTAAAAAATGCTTTATAGATCTATACTTTAATACTTTTCTTTGAAATGGCGACCAAACAAAGTAGGTATTTTAAGCGAAGTATGAATGGAGATGAGTGTAGGATGAGTGGCGCGATCTTGTAGTCTAAGGCCGACTTATTCCTTAGACACAGCTTTTATAAGGCATAGCCCTAAGGTTGGCCTATAATTGAAAGTTACTTTCCACAATGGTTAAAAGTATTTAAGGTACTACTTCAACCTCACAATTTAACACTTTATTCGGGTTGACATTTTCATTATCAAGGTGCTCTTGTCCTTTCCATGAAACACTGAGAAATAAGGACATTAATGCGTTACCAACAGACATATACACAAAAATACAGAACTTAATTAGGGAATTTGCTACGCTTTAAGCATAACAAAGTACATATAAAATTAGTATTTGAAATCTTTGTTAATGTCATAAAATTTTATCATAACAATTTATATTTGCTTGGACCGAAGATGACCCGAAATTCTGTCGAAATGCTATATGAATCGGTTTGCTATATGAAATGAAGTACAGTAAATCTATAGACGATTTAGATTGGTAATTTATAGTAAAAATTACCAAAATAGGCCACGAACTATTGATAGGCCTACATAAACAACGTTCAAAGCGTTTGAACAATTCATGATGGTTTGCTGAATAAATGTTTTACTAAAATGCGTTATCGTTTTCTTAGCATAAACTAACATTTTGGAATCCAGACAGAAAAAGCAAAACTTACACAGTTAAGACATAAATTAAATTGAATAAGCCTGTAATAAATAAGGTGCAACACCAACGAATCCCAATTGAGTGCCTATATCCCACAACACATGACAGAATGATTCTGCTAATAATAACTTTTAGGCTATGTTACCACCTACAATATGGACTAGGTGAACCCGTGCGAATTTGCACGAATAATAAATTAGGATATTATAGCAACGTCGATAGAAGTTACGTCGTTGTATCGACGTTGGTCTTGAGCTCGATCGTTGGCTTTATGCATTCTAAGTTCTTTTGCTGTTCATTAGGAGTAGTTTGCAGGACGGAACTAATCATGCTGAAAACTTGCGCGTATGGATTAAAATCAACCAAATGTTGAGTCAAAATGTGCATGAGTTTAGTGTTGCAAGAACCATTAGCTTTGTTTAGCATTCTTCCTTGAACAGCGGTTTTGACGTCCGTAGATATAAATTTGGGCATATGTTGGATGCTCCCCTTCTGACAGTTGAAAGGTGCCAACTGAGTGATAAATTGTGCACCTTATACATGAAAGGCCCTCCACTGTTATGTTCTTCAATTTTAGCTCGAGTGCTGACCATTGCGAGCGCAGAGTTGTACGATCTAACTATGCGCTCGCAATGGTCAGCACTCGAGCTAAAATTGAAGAACATAACAGTGGAGGGCCTTTCATGTATAAGGTGCACAATTTATCACTCAGTTGGCACCTTTCAACTGTCAGAAGGGGAGCATCCAACATATGCCCAAATTTATATCTACGGACGTCAAAACCGCTGTTCAAGGAAGAATGCTAAACAAAGCTAATGGTTCTTGCAACACTAAACTCATGCACATTTTGACTCAACATTTGGTTGATTTTAATCCATACGCGCAAGTTTTCAGCATGATTAGTTCCGTCCTGCAAACTACTCCTAATGAACAGCAAAAGAACTTAGAATGCATAAAGCCAACGATCGAGCTCAAGACCAACGTCGATACAACGACGTAACTTCTATCGACGTTGCTATAATATCCTAATTTATTATTCGTGCAAATTCGCACGGGTTCACCTAGTCCATATTGTAGGTGGTAACATAGCCTAAAAGTTATTATTAGCAGAATCATTCTGTCATGTGTTGTGGGATATAGGCACTCAATTGGGATTTTATAATTTTGATCCGTTTGAGTAAGATTATTTTTGGCAAAATATTGTGATATGTTGGCAAGTTAGTTTTTTTCCAGGGTATTAGTTCTTTACAGCCATTAAATAAAAAATATCAACAACTACAAAACAAAATTAATATGTTAAAGTATTAAATGAATAATATGATTTTATCCATAAATTCCTGTTATTAAGTACAAAACATGTGGGAATAGGTTTCATGGGTCAAAACAAAGATCATGAATATAAAACTTATTCAAAAACACCTCCTTAGTAAGTTACACACCATTTTGTTTTTTTGTATTTTTTATTTAAATCTTTAAAATTATCAAAGATAAAGAATAATCAAGGATTTGGTATACCATTTTAAGTTATAGTGATACGCTTTGGTAAAATAAAATATCTTTTAGTTTCAAAATGGCGGTCATTTTAATTTTTGTAACAGAATTTCCTAACAACACCAAGTTATCTAAGACCGAATAGTAAACTACTGAAAAATCATGAATTTAGGTGAAAAATTAGGTGTAGGGCTTACCCTGACAGCTTGCCCTTATTTTGCCTGGACTGAACAACTAAAAATCGTTTTTGTTTTTTTAGCTATTTATTCTATTCAATCTTTTTGAACTTGGCGTCGTTTGTTAGAAAAATGTAAGTGCTCAAAACGTTTTCCAATAAGTCAGCAATTAAAAAAAATTATTTATAGAAATGTAATGACTGCCATTTTAAAACTAAAAAATACTTTGTGATAATCTTTTGTGAATAGCTTATTGCTACTTAAAATTGGGTACCAAATCTCATTAGGATATGTACAACAATTTAAAGGATGGTATTTACATTAAAAATACAAAACAACAAAATGGCAGGTATCTTGCTAACAAGGTATTTAAAAAAAAAGTTATTCTTGATTTTTTGTTTTTTTCTGTCCCATAAATGTTAACACTAAGTAAAAAAATGTGACACACAAGTAATTACTTACTGGACACCTTGTATGATACATTGAATTTGGTGAGACCACTATTAATGTTAGGTAGTTGTTTATATGAACAATTTTGATGAGTACCTATTGTTTCGGGTTACAGCTCTAATGTTTGGTTATTTTTACATTTATGATTTTAGGTTTTTAATGTCTTAATTTTATATTTATTTTCAGCTTCAGAAGAGCTTTCTATTGGCAACATGAGGTTTACAACATTTGACCTTGGAGGCCACACACAAGGTATGTGTCTTCTATATTATTGTCTTCTACATTACATAGCCTAATCAGTTAACATGAGCTTCATTTGATATCTGAACCTGTTTGTGATAACCTTAACCCTACATGCTGCTATTACATGTTTGACATTTCCTTGACTCAATAATAATATTTACTTATTTATCATAACTTTATTGACGTATTTCAGCACATATGATGCAGAAACTACTTCTTATAAAATAATCAAATCAAACTTTATTTTCACATAAACGTTTCTACATAGCATAGTTATTACACATGTGACATTGTCAAAGCAAATTTTCCATAGGGGATAAGCTATTACCGTAGGTCTCATGGTAAGACCTGGACCCGGAACCGATTGACTTTTTTGCTTTTTTTTTATGCCTCCAGAGACCAAAAACACCATCCGTTGAAATTCACACATATATATTTGTCCGTTAGCACAATAAACTCGAGCAAACATTATCTGATTTTGATGAAATTTGGTACAAACATGTAAATCTATGTTTATTCTAAATGAGTTTGCAATCCAGTATGATTGGGCCATGGTAACTGGGTTTTATGGGATAAAAATTGGTGTGTATGTGTCAGTTATGTTGTCCAGAGGGTCCATGTGCTTTAACAGAGGCATACTTTTTGAGCGAAGCTCTTATACGTTGACTCTTATGCATTTCGTAATACGCAAACTCCTCCTAGACGGCTGAATCAATCGTTTTCAAATTTTGCATGGTGATAAAGACCATATCGGTGAGTGCCAACATCTATATGGCGTTAAAAAAGTCTCTCAGGAATCCAACGTATGAAGTGGTGAAGGAAGTAGTAAAGGTGAGCAGTCTAGAGTATGGCAACTGTTTATGACGATTAGATTAAGGTACCTAATCTGCATTCCTAAAATTCTATGGGAAGGGAGGAAAACAGGTCCGTGACGTAGGAAGTGGTGAAGGAAGTAGCTAAGGCGAGCAGTCTGGAGTGTGGAAACTGTTTATGACATTTAGATTAAGGTATCTGCATTCCTAAAATTCTATGGGAAGGGAGGAAAACAGGTCCGCGTCGTAGGAAGTAGTAAAGGCAAGCAGTCTGGAGTGTGGAAACTGTTTATGACGATTAGATTAAGGTATCTGCAATCCTAAAATGCTATTAGAAGGGAAGGAAACAGGTCCGCGACGTAGGAAGTGGTGAAGGAAGTAGTAAAGGCGAGCTGTTTAGGGTGTGGGATCTGTCAGTGACCATTAGATTAAGGTATTTGCAATCCTATGATGCTATGGGAAGGGAGGGAAATTGGTCCTTGATGAAGGAAGTAGTAAAGGCGAGCAGTCTGGAGTGTGGAAACTGTTTATGACATTTAGATTAAGGTATGTGCATTCCTAAAATTCTATGGGAAGGGAGGAAAACAGGTCCGCGTCGTAGGAAGTAGTAAAGGCAAGCAGTCTGGAGTGTGGAAACTGTTTAGGACGATTAGATTAAGGTATCTGCAATCCTAAAATGCTATTAGAAGGGAAGGAAACAGGTCCGCGAGGTAGGAAGTGGTAAAGGAAGTAGTAAAGGCGAGCTGTTCGGGGTGTGGAATCTGTTAGTGACCATTAGATTAAGGTATTTGCAATCCTATGATGCTATGGGAAGGGAGGTAAATTGGTCCGTGACGTAGGAAGTGGTGAAGGAAGTAGTAAAGACAAGCAGTCCGGACTGTGGGAACTCTTTGTGATGATTAGATTAAGGTATCTGCAATCCTAAAATGCTATGGGAAGGGAGGAAAACAGGTCCGCGACATAGGAAGTGGTGAAGGAAGTAGTCAAGGCGAGCTGTCTGTAGTGTGGGTACTGTTTATGACGATTAGATTAAGGTATCTGCAATCCTAAAATGCTATGGAAAGGGAGGGAAACAGGTCCGCAATGTAGGAAGTGGTGAAGGAAGTAGTAAATGCAAGTTGTTCGGAGTGTGGGATCTTTTTATGAAGATTAGATTTAGGTATCTACAATCTTAAAATGCTATGGGAAGAGAGGGAAACAGATCCGCGACGTAGGAAGAGGTGAAAAAAGTAGTAAGGTGAGCAGTGTGGAGTGTGGGAACTGGAAACTGTTTGTAGCAGTTTTAATGTATCTGCAATGCTGAAATGCTATGAGAAGGGATGGAAGCATACCCACGACATAGGAAATGGTGAATGACGTAGTAAAGGCTAGCAGTACGGAGTGTGGGAATGTTTGTGGCAATTAGATTAACTTATCAAAAATACTAAAATGCTATGGAAAGTGATGAATACAGGTCCACGACGTAGGAAGTGGCTTAGGAAGTAGTAAAGTATGAGCATCAGCATAGTGAGAGATCCGTCTGTGGCATTCAGATTAATGTATCTTCAATACTAAAATGCTATTAGAAGGGAAGGAAACAGGCCCCACGACGTAGGAAATGGTGAAAGAAGTAGTAAAGGCTGGCAGTGCAGGGTGGGGAACCGTTTGGGCAGTAAATGTATCTGTAATACTAAAATGCTATGAGAAAGGAAGGAAACAGGTCTATGACGTAGTAAATGGTGAAGGAAGTAGTAAGGCTAGCAGTGCAGAGTGTGGGAACTGTCTTTGGCAATTACATTAATGTTGGCAATCCTAAAATGCTATATGGGAAGAGAGGGAAACAGGTCCACGACGTAGGTAGGGAGTGGTGAAGGAAGTAGTAAAGGGGAGCAGTGTTGAGTGTGGGAATGGATTAATATATCTGCAATGCTAAAATGCTACTGGAAGAGACTGTAGACTGTATGTTAAAATGATTACGAAGCACGAATCGATACATATTTTCGATACTTGCAATCGTTTACAATCAAAATTTACAACTGAGTTGACAACAGCTGATTTTTACTCCATAGAGGCTAAAAACTATTTTTACTCCCTAAATATTAAAAATGCTACTTTAGACCAGCAACGCATGCATTAAAAACTACTGTTTTTACTGCAGTATGACAAAAACAATATAATATGAACCCTTGATGACTCCGCTCAATTTTTTGGATGTCTCTGCGAACGCCACCTAGTAATGATGCCATCAGCTACTTATACAAAATAATTATTAAGGCCATCTGGTAAAACCACTATGGGAGGGGTTGTGTTGGATTTCCTATGCTCATCTATCTATATACAGTAGAGTCCCGCAAACTCGGCTATCACCTGGCTCAGAAAATTAGTGATTTTTTGAGTCCGAGTTAAACATGGACTCAAGCCAGCTCAAGTCAAATCATTCTCAGCTCGTACAAATGATTTATTTTATTTATCTGATGACTTAATACTAACTTGTAATATAAATATAAATAAAAGAGGCAGTTAAAAAGCTTAAAAATTATATTGTTCATGTTTTTAACCCTAGTTCCCGATAACCTGGCATTTCACAAACTCGGCACCCTTCCAGTCCACATTACGCCGAGTTTGCGGGACTCTACTGTATATAATACGCTAAGCCGATTTTTGTGAATACATTAAATAACTTCTTGATCAGCATTGTACATGTTGTTAAATTTACGGAAAGTAAATAAAGATACGTCTTATAACACTTAAAACATATATTTACGCTTATACTGTTACTCACAAGACGGTAAATATACAAAAGATGGTAAGTGGTGATCAATTTCGATTGGACACTCCAATCATCAGACCCAATGGGCGAATCTTTATTTACTTTCCGTGAATACATTAATGATGTGGTTGCATACAATGACCTGACAAAGTTCTAAGGAACAAAACTAGTTGCCATACTAACAACTGTTGTTGGATAAGGTAATCCTTTATTTTATCAATGCTTACTAGGTGAAACCCGTTGAAAACGATGGTTACTTTCAAGGCTTACACTAATTCATCTAACTGCGATAAATTGAGTGAAATTATACATATTTTGAGCATTTAGCGTTTAAAGTGTAATTGTGTTAGTTACCAAATATAGATCATTCATGAATGAAATACTTCCCACACCGTACAGCATCGGAGTTATTATTAGTATGTTAACTGGTATCTCTTCTTTTGGAAGAACCTTTAGATAGTATTAAAATCGTTTTGGTGGATCTGTTGTAGTTAAAAACTTCCACGATTTCATCAGTGTAATCTATCTATATATTAATAGGCAAGCATGTTTCTTTAAAACCTTATTTCTCAGCTCGTGTGCAAAAGCTAGAATGACATTATCCTGTAGAAGTGCAGAATCCCTTTAAAAATTAAAATAGGCTCAAATATAAGCACAAAAAATAGATTTGAAATTTGAAAAAATTAACATGGGCTTTTTATGGGTTGCCATGCTGGTGACGAAATAACAATGAAATATAAACAGAAAATAAAAACAAATGGAAATTACAATCACATGTTTTATTTACAGCGTAAAGTGAAAATAGAGAAGCCTGTACCTTTATTCCATCCCCATGTTAAAGTTGTCACCAGTTTTTTTATTAAATTCGTCGTAGTTGATGTGAGCCACCAACAGACTGCGCTGATCTAAATTACTAATTTCCGTTGAATACACAATGTTTTTTTTACCAAGTCAAACTTATGGAATGACTTATTATGAGCTTTATCAACTGTTATGACCAATCAACTTTGTCAGCAAAAAAACTAAGGTAGAAAATTGAATTTAAGACACGCATTCGGTGACTAGCTCACACAACTACATGTTTTTAATTTAAAAATTGCGACAGCTAGTCCATAGAGATGGGATTTCAACTTCAGTATCCAATAGTCAATACGTTGACATGACATGTTTTTGGTTGAGTTTTCGACCACTGGACGACCACTAGTAAAGATTAATCTATGATTTTATTTGAGGAAAAATATCTGTTTGTTGAGGAGACACGTTCTAACTTCAAAGGGAGGTCCATGCGTTAGAGCGTAAGTTTGATTTTTCTTTTGTCACGTCGCGTCAGTTCATATCATACTAACTTATGTGCCAATGAACAACCCTCTAGCATAGTTTTGAGAAATTGGTTGTGGGGTTACTGTTAAAGTAAATAAGACACTTCTGAACTTGTATTATTTTGTGTTGTATTACACAATTGAAGATTTTTCCAATGATTGAAAACATGTATGACAATAATCTCATGAACCTATGATGATATGTCTAGAATCTAGAATAATATAATAAAATATAGCCAAAAGTGTTGAAAAAGGCAGACACAAACCCGTACAATAGATATAAGATAGTTCAATAAGAAATAATTGCAAGGAGTTACTGTGATAAAAGGATTTTCCACTGATTTCATAATGCAACGTTATATTGCAAAACATGACATGATACAGAAGAAAATCAATTTTAAAATCAGAAAATAACATTGAGACAATTCAGTTCCCAATAAATTTGTGTGTTGTTTAAAATACAATTCAAAAATTTACAGCTGTTTCATTAAAAAGTACTATCCACATGACCAAAATGTAAACAAATAATCTGTGGAGGGATCTTTAAAGGCTTCTGGGGCAGAGCCCTAAGGGAATTTACTTAGTTTTTCTTTCGATGACTCATCTACAGACCAAGACATTTCTTTGGACACCTCTACCAAGTTTCTACGCACAGCCGTTCTCTCAAATTAGTGGAGCCAAAGTTTCCAATTATATTTAGACTAGCTGTACCCGCGGGCTTTGCCCCGTTTAACTTCTTAATTTTCAAGATGATCTCGTTCGCATGGCTCAATCACGTCCTGGTTGAAGTTCGTTCGCTACGCTCACTCACCTTTAGGTTGGAGCTCGTTCGCTTCGCTCACTTGCCTTCAGGTTAGCTCGTTCGCTACGCTAACTCGTCTCCAGGTTGAAGTTCGTTCGCTACGCTCACTCACCTTTTGGTTGCAAATTAGCTGTTGTCATTAATTAAAATAAATAATAGTGCTGCACCCTGTTGGTAATCATTGTAACTTTAATGCAATTGAACATCATAGAACAGAACCAACTTGTTTAATTGAAACAGCTGTTAAGATTCATTAATTCCTTTTAAATATGAAAAATCATAAGGCTAACATGGGAAACTCCAGAGCCACTGGGGCGGAGCCCGAGAGTCCGATCAGAATAAAAACAACTTAGTTTTCCTATTAAATGCCTAAAGAATCAATGTACCAAATTTCAGCCTCCTAGGTAAATGGGAAGTGGGAGAATTAGTGATGAGTGTGTCAGTGAGGGCTTTGCCTTTTATAAGTATAGATTCCCCCATGTTAATCTTATGGGAGAAAACCCAACTTTGATGGAAGATCCTGCCCAAACTAATAAAGATTTCAAAAAATTAAAAACACTGCAAAACTACAGATCAGGGCCATTTTTTGACACATATATCATTAAAATCGGTCAAAAAATGAGGGAGGAGTTCTGTTCTCAAAAATCGGATGTTTGCTGTTCCAAGGAGGGTAGTAAATTGTGTTTTTAAGAAAACTTCATTAAAACATAAAAATTTTTACTTGAGTTATCTTCCTGAACACTGTGTTGAATGTTACAGCTCGCAGAGTGTGGAAGGACTATTTCCCTGCAGTAGACGCCATTGTGTTCCTAGTGGATGCTTGTGACAGAGAGAGGCTGCCTGAGAGCAAGGCAGAGTTAGACAGTCTGTTGACAGACGAGTCCCTGTCCAGCTGTCCCGTCCTTATCCTGGGGAACAAGATAGACCGAGCAGGTGCTGCATCGGAGGACGAGCTACGTGGTTTCTTCAACCTTTATGGCCAGACCACAGGCAAGGTAATGTGAAACAACTATCTGTCTATTAAGAGCAAATATTTGGCTTAACTTTTTACCATAATTTATTATTAGACAGTATCTTCACAAAGATATGCAATCAACTAACAGTTTAATCTGATGACAGGCAAAGGTCCCCAGGAGTGAACTCCCCACACGACCTCTAGAGCTGTTTATGTGTTCAGTGCTCAAGAGACAAGGGTACGGTGACGGCTTCCGCTGGCTGGCCGAGTACATTGACTGATATGGTGGGTATACAGGATATTTTTTTGCTATCCCAGTTTCAAGAACTAAAATTATATTAGACTTTCCCTTTGTTGTTTTTCCCGAGTTCTTGAAGGTAAGATGTTTGTGTCACCCTATGCATTTCTCGGTGTGGCATCTTAAATCTTTAAATCTAGAATCTTTGTGTGAGAAAAGAAAATCTTAAACTTACAAAGTATCTTGTGTTATTGGGATGATGTCAACAAAAATTCAACTTTTCCTTGCCTATTTTGAATAATTATGTTTCTTTTTGGTAGGTGTCTTATTCTCAAAATGAAATATTACCAAACAAATGTTTTCATAGTTAGCCAATTACTAAAAGTTGAATTAAAAAGAAAGCTTGAAATTGCTTAAGCTTTGTTTACACTTTAAGTTTATAATTTAATTCACATATTATGGATGTTCTTTTAACATGGCTATGGAGATTTAAAAACCGTTAAGTATGTTAAACATGTTTAGTCTATGCATATAATTGTGGAGTGATTGTGTCGAACTGTCCTATTTCAATTCTAATATGTTTTCAAAACTTTGTAAATAATGTAACTAATTCATTTTCCAGGAGGATTTCAAGAAACAAGAAGGCAACTGAATACCCTTTCAACCTACACAACCAAATTGTGATAAAAGCTAGGTTTTCAAAGACGGTTGGTTGTTAGTGTGCCACAACAAAACATTTATGGTGGTGCTCCTCCGATTTCTCCTGGCTCTGTGTTTGCTACACTATCAAATTTTATTGATGAAAAACCTCAATCAGTTATTGTTTTTACGTACCATTAAAATCACTAAAGCGTAATTGTACCATTAAAATCACTAAAGCCTAATTGTTCCCTATATTACTAGCTGTTTTTAGGTTAGTCTCACGATTTATCCAGTATTTTCCTTTTATTTATTTGTATGTCAAAACATCATAATATAGATTAATATATTAAAGACAGACATTTGGTAGTGATTTTGTTTTAATTTGCCCAACCTTCTACGGCAAAAGAAAAGTGAAGATAACCTGTCAGATTATGCATAGTATTTTGATTCTAGGGGACTTCTTGCGACTAATGGAGGACAAATCACGGGCATTAGATGTGAGCTAAGATTAAAAAACTAGTCCTAGCCTATTGTTACTTTCTTGGGAAAATGGAAGCAGATCGCAAGAATGTTTTAAGACCAGCAATGGAGTATCCACCCTTATCTGCTGGCTGTCAAGTGGTTATAGTGTTCTGCCTTTGATTCTGAGGAAAGAAGCACTTTGATGGTTCAAAGCTAAACCCAACTGTCTTTTATTATTGCACTTTTAGTAATTAATAGTTTTAGCAAATGAAACGGAAGTAAAAATACCACACAAATCATCCTGATGAACTTCCAGCCATATTTGGGTTGAAATACACCTCGGTTGTGTGCATATATCAACATAGTTGTACGTTTAAAGGAGGGTACTAAAACCAAGTTCAGTACAGCTTCTATCTGGTTATTGTTCAAATTCAGTGGTTATGGTCAACAAAAGGGATTTTTTATATTATATTTCAACATAAGAGGAAGAATTTAGTTCAACTAGTTTATTATGAGACAGGAGTACGAGTGGTCAGCAGAATCAGGTGTGTGGCTGAATGATGTTTTGCCACCAATATCTGTTATCATCAGAATGAGATAATGCAAAAAGACTCATTGGTTATTGATACGTTCATCGAGGCCAACATGATAACCATTATATTGGAGTTATTGGCAATTGGCAACTAATTTTTTTAATTTTCAACAAGGCTAATATACAAATTTTATAAAAAGATAGGGCATTTGCCAGGAATTATTATTTGATATTATTATTTGATTTATATACAAATTTGTTTTATTTACAAGCGCTTTCGGAAACTAGGTTTCCATCATCAGGCTGTGTTTACACTAGTACAAAAAGTAAATATTTACTTAGTAATAAATTAATTTTAAATAAATTTAAAACGGATAATGTAAAGGATATTGGACAAATAATCTAATTTTGGATGTATTGTTCATGATGTAATATTTTTCAGTAATTCCAAGTTAATAATTAGACTGTCTTCATTATTAAATCATTTTGGTGTGTTTTTAGCGAATTCCCCTATAGAGAAGTAGCTATTACCGTAGGTCTCATGGTAAGACCTAGGCCCCGGACCGATTTACTTTTTCATTTTGATGTCCCCAGAGGCCAAAAACACTATTCGTTTACGTGTCCATAAAGACGATAACTTGAGTAATTTATGACTGATTTTGATAAAATTTTGTTTGAAGGTGTAAGGCGGGATAAACTTGAATGAGTTCGCGAACCATTATGATTGGACCATGGGAACGGGGTTTTATGGGATAAAAATGGGGTTTTCTAATTTTTAACCCTTAAAACAAAATTTTTAAATTTTTCTCAAGGCCTTTTTAAAGAGTTTAAAAAAAGAAATAAATTAGTATATCAGTGTTTTTGTACGGTTATTGGTTACGGAGAAAATTTAAAAATTTTAATTTAAAATTCCCATGTTATTCTTATGGAGAATATTGTAAAATGGTGTAGTTGGCTTGTTTATGGATATATTTTGATCAAACTAGGCAGATTTATTTATTCTAAACTAAGCTATTAATATTTTAGTAAAAAACACACTTTATTAGTTTCCCTGTAGCAGCAAACCTAGGTACTTGTTAAACATAAATGTTGATTTAATAGATGAATTGAAAATCAATCCAGGCAAATGGAAATTCGCTTAGTCGGCAGGGTTGCTGCAGCGGCGGTATTTTCTATAAAATAAGGTTCCCACGCATTAAGATGTTGAGGTTTTTTAATTTGTTTTAAAAGTTTTAGGTTTCTCAAATTGAAAATATGTTTCCCAATTACTGAAAATAATTACATCCTCGCCTTCGCTCCATACTTAAAATAACTCTGATTTTGGTATTCCTGTGTGAGGCAAAGCCTTACACATGGAACTTGAGTGTGTAAGAAAATGCTGATTTTGATCCTAGTAATGAAATATACTATTGGTGGATACATGGATACAAGTAAGGATAGGTAAAATGTCTAATTTAAGGCACAACTCACTAAGAGTACACTAATCCTGTGAAATTCTTTCTGAGCCATCCTCTCCCTCCAAGCTCTGCCACAACTTGGCCATTGATCAGATCACACTACTGTAACAACACTGAGGTAGACTCAGGCGACTCCTAGGTTGCAACAGACACTTGTAAGTGGGCTCTTCTTGGCCAATAAATCAACCTTTGGTGATTACAGCCTGTATAATAATAAAATCATACATAAGAAGTACCATTTTAAAATTTCAATTGTAAAAAAAGGATTCGTGTAAAAAATTACACTAAAATGTAATTACTAGAAATTTTTATTTCAATCTATGTAAAATATACATTGGTAACAGTTAATCAATTTTTAGTAGATATTGCTATATCACCTACCAAATCCTCCAAGGCATTTAGGGGTTGGATTTACTTCTGGGTTAGCATTCCACTGATCAGGTGTTTTTGCCTAAAAATACAACTCGAGCAATATTAAAAAGACAAATAAGTCTTACAGAACATACACAAAGCAAGAATGTACAGTGGCAAACCTGAAATTTTTGCAAATTCTACAAATACTTTTTCACCACACTATGATGTTTTTGGCTGTATTACATATGTAAATTGGTGGCTGAAAGTTACGTTTTGCTGGCCATGCCAGTTGTCGTCGTAATTTGGGGACCGAGCAGGTTTTTACATCCCGGGGCCGCAAAATCGGCTGTCCGCTTACTTACTTAAAACATGAATCTATATATTTAATACACAGTTGTAACACTGTTTTCTCAGTAATTACTGAACCGATCCACAAGATCTATGTGTCAAATTAAAGGGAATAATGCATAGATTTGCTGAACTTCATTAGAATTAACGTTCTTTCTAAGGGTTAAGACATACAGCCCTTCAAAGGTTGAGTCAATACAATTCTTATTGAAGAATATAATACACAGTTTATAAATTATTCGTCAGCTGTTTAATTTTTGTCAGACATTTGTTATTATTTTTATAACCTCACTTTCAGTATGTAATTATTAATCTTGGAGTTTCTATTTATTAACACACAATTTTGATCAAGGAAAGTGTATTTTTGTACATTATTTGTATGTTTTGGTGTAAATTTTGTATTTTTGAAATGTTTTAGTTTTCCTGCAAAGTGATCTGAAGGAAAGTGGTAATTGAGTTTACAATTTGAGTATGGAATGTGAAATAATACCCATAGTAGGGGACGGAAACTTATTGTTTTTGATCAATATAATTTATTCTTCCATAGCCACCAGAACAATCATGGGGAAATCCGCTTGCAAGTTGTACAGATAATTGCTAATGAGTGGAAAACATTTTATCTTAGTGATTAATCTTACTCAAGATCAATGTTTGACGTTCAGCAGTACCAAATTTTACCTTCTCGAGATGGGCGAGTACGCTGGGATACGTGGAACTACAATATATCAGTGAACTATACCCTATTTTTCATTCGAGTACACAGGGAAGTTGCTTGTTGTGAAACTGTGACTTACGATTACGGTTCTGGCGAAGAAGTATGTGACTTGATGTTTAATGGCAATGTTGACTCGGGTCATTATAGCGTTATAGGCTAATACTTTATCATTAACCCCAAGGTGTGAAAAGTACAAAAAGATTAAGAAAAGGTAATCATTAACCCGGGCGTAAGAGACATACAGAACGAAAAAAAAACACGTAGAGAACCATCGAACTAAAAAGGTAAAGAGCATTAATGGTGTTAAATGTGCTCTGGAAGTCCCTAAAAATATACCAACCAATTAGGATTGTTAAATTGGATTTTTCACTACTGCAAATCTATGAATTTCCAGTCAGAACAGACTAAAAAGGACACAAATATATTCTCCTTTGTTGTCACAAGGGGAAGGTAAAATGAGCTCCTTATCAACATTTTGAGCTTATGGAAAATCAACAGGGCTACAGCGACTATAAAAAAGTATTAAGGGTCAAAAGAAACAAAAAGCTAATAATATCATACAAATCTGCATTTGAAATGGCGAGTTCTAAGTCTCACTTGAATCAACATCTTTCTGGTAGTGTTAGTCTATAAATCGGATTGGACCGTTAATACACTCTAACATTGAACCAAAGTATGCCCAACTTTATATATAAGATGTAAACACAGCTGTTACTCACAGAATGGGTCAAAGATTCGTGAAATGCGACCAACTGCTGATGCGTGATTTACATGTAAGTGACTATCTTTATTCCTTAACAACAAATGTAACGAAAAAAACAACGAATACAGGAATATAATTGAACAAATTATCTCCTTAGCATAAGTAGCCTGCTTATTAGGTTATCAGCATTGCGCAGTTCGTATACTATTTATTTTTCAAACGAAACTCGAATTAATATAAAACATACATTTGGTTAAATTAATATATCGGTTTGATTAACATAAAATAGTTTACACAGGCAAACTACCTGTTCTATTTTATATAAAAAATTAGGCAGCCCCTAAATAAAATACAAAGATAAACAGTATTTGTTAATCATTATGTGTTTTATTGCTGACAATATTCCCGTGGCGGAGCACAGGCGGTTAACTAGTGCATTTTAAATACAGAATCAAAATCATAGCATTGCAATAGAATTGTGTTATTGTCACCGTTGCCTAGCAACTATTTATTTTTATTTTTGCTGATTCCTCAAATTATTTCTTCACATAACCTTAAAGTTGTAGTTGTGTTGACTATCAGTGTGCATTATTATGGTGGTGAATAGTGGTAATAGGGTATAGTGTAGTGAAAAATGGCGTTCGTACCATGGACCAAAATGGTTTTGCAGCTCTCGCGTCTCGAACTTAAAAACTATCTCGAGCCGGCAAAACCTCATTTTCGGCCCTAGGTACGAAATATACTATTTCACCACACTATAATGTTTTTTGATGTTTTACATACGTTAACTGGTGGCTGAAAGTTACAGTTTGCTGGCCATGCCAGCTGTCATCGTCATTTGGGGACCGAGCAGGTTTATACATACCTAGGGCTGCAAAATCAGCTGCCCCCTTACTTTCTTAAAACATGAATGCATATTAAATACACAATCAGTATCTATAGCATTGCAATAGAATTGTTTTATTGTCACCGCTGCCTAGCCAACAATTTATTATTATTTTTGCTGATTCCTCAAATTATTTGTTCACATAGCCTTAATGTTGTAGTTGTGTTGACTATCAGTGTGCATTATTATTGTGGTGAACTGGTAATAGGGTATAGTGTAGTGAAAAATAGCGTTCGTACCACGGACCGAAATGGTTTTGCAGCTCTCGATTGTTCTAAGTTCTCGACTTCGAAGCTGGCAAAACCTCATTTTCGGCCCTAGGAACGAAATATACTATACAGTAGAGTCCCACAAACTTGGCGTAATGTGGGCTGGAAGGAAGGGTGCCGGGTTCTCGGAAACTAGGGTTAAAAATAAGAACCATAACATTTTTAAGCTTATTAACTCCCTCTTTTATTTATATTTATAATACAAGTTAATATTAAGTTATCAGATATAGTACGACAAATCCTTGGTATGAGCTGCGAACTATTTGACTTGAGTCCATGTTTAACTCGGACTCAAAAAATCACTAATTTTCTGAGCCAGGTGATGGCCGAGTTATCCAGACTGCCGGGTTATCGAGTTTGTGGGACTCTACTGTATTGGATATTATTATACCTGTCCTAATGTAACAAAACCTTTATTTATCTCCATAAACAGTTGCAACATGTTTTTGGTAGGTAATCACAAATTATAAAACGGGATTAGAAAACAGACACGTATACTTCCTTACATTGGCCTGACATTAAAATCAAAAATCTTACTAATTTTTTAAGGGGAAAACAATTTTGATGGGTAAGCAGGAGGAGTAACTTGGTTTTCATGGGAAGAATAAAAAAAGCACTATCTTTTGAACTGTAATCTGTACAGCATTGAGGCTTATGCCATTTTGTTTGGAGTTTTAAGTACTATAGCATACTAAATGTTAACCAAAATCAAACAAGCCGTTTTTGTGTTTTGTATAAGAAAATTAAAAATTGAAGATATTAAAAAAAAAAAAAACTTATGGAGATACTATAGTTTGGTACCCGCATAAAAATATCATCAAAATCGGACAAAAGGTGTAGTTTGTAGCCCTGTACACATTCACACTCACACACATGCAGACAGACACACACACACATAATTTCTAAGACCACTTTTTAGTGAATTTCCCATATATGGAATAAGCTATTACCGTAGGTCTCATGGTAAGACCTGGTAAAACGTACTTTTTCGTTTTAAGGTCCCCAGAGGCCAAAAACACCATTTTTTGCAAATTTATTTATACATGGTGATTGATAAAAATGTGCCAGCTGTTTTATTCTAAAACTATAAGAGATATCAAAAAAAGTTAAATGGTAAGTGCCTTGGGTTTTTTGTTTTAAAAATTGTAGTAGAGTAGAAAAAATATTTTAGCCGCCATTTTTCCAATATGGCCGCCAACTTTGATTTTTCTTATGAAACACCCTGTATTTTATGATTTATTCTGGTAGAAAATGTAATTTTAAGACAATTTTACTCCTGTGTTTTTTTCATAAACCTAACCGTTTCAAAGATAATAATGGTTAAAGTTGTGAAATTTCAAATAAAACAGCTGGCATGCTAGCTTAGACCTTTATTGAAACTCTTTTTCATGCCGAAATTTAAAAACTTTAACCATTATTATCTTTGAAATGAAAAAAGACACAAGAGTAAAACTGCCTTAAAATTACATTTTCTACCGGAATACACCATAAAATACAGGGTGTTCTATATGAAAAATCAAAGTTGGCGGCCATATTGGAAAAATGGTGGGTAAAATATTTTTTTAAACTTGACTACAATTTTTAAAACAAAAAAATCCAAGGCACTTACCATTTAACTTTGTTTGATATCTCTTATAGTTTTCGAATAAAACAGCTGGCACACTTGTATCAATCACCCTGTACAGTATAGGCCTACCATATATGTGTCCGTTAGCGTGATAACTCAAAGCAAAAATGATCCAATTTTGATTAAATTTGGTCTAAGCGTGTAAACCTATCACATTTATTTGAACGAGTTTGCGAATCAGCATGATCGGGCAATGGGAACAGGGGTTTATGGGGGGATTTATGAAAAATGAGTTTTTCCCATTTTTGACCCTAAAAATATAAAATGTTGTGATTTATTTCTAAACCGTTTTGTAGAGCTTAAAAAAAGAAATAATTTAGTATATTGAAGGTCGGTTGTATGCCTAAAGGATTCAGAGAACATTTAAAAATACCCCCGCAGCAGCAAACAACCTGCAAACTAAGCGAATTTCCATTTATTATAGATTAATCAATTATAGATTATAGATTAATTAATTATAGATTTATCATTTATTATAGATTAATGGTTTATTTTGCCTATTTTTATTCCATTATGAAATATGGAATTGAGCTATGGGGTTCATCAGCTGATTGGAAAAAAATATTCAAGTTTCAAAAAAGAATTGTTCGCATTATGACATTTTCGCGGCCACGAGTCTCATGCAAGCCAATCTTTAAACAGTTAGGATTATTGAGCCTTCCCTCTCTCTATATATATTCATGCTTACTGTTCATTCAGAAGAATTTTGATCTTCTTTGTGGACAGCAGCATTTACATGCATACAATACAAGGTGCAAAGACAATTTTCAATACCGAATACATAACTTAACAATCTATGAAAAGGGCCCTAGTTACATGGGTATGAAGTTCTTTAATAATCTACCGACAAACATTAAAAGCCAAATCCGTTTAAAGAGTTTTAAGAATACTCTAAAAAGTTATCTTTTAAACAAAGTATTTTACTCTGTAAGTGACTTTTTACAAAATTAAGCAGCATTGTTATATGTAATTGTTGTTTTAGAGTCAGACAAAAATGTTCTGTAACTTAATTGTATTTTTAGGTTTATATTGAATTGACAATGTCACCAGTTTAATAGCTTTGCTATGTACAAATGTTTTTATGTGACAATAAAGTGAATTTGAATTTATCTGAATTGATTTTTAATCAAATCTATTTAAATAAAATTAGGTTTAACGAGTACCTAGGTTTGCTGCTACAAGGAAACTAAAAAAGTGTGTTTTTTTTAAATATTAATAGCTTAGTATGAAATAAATAAATTTGCCAAGTTTGATTAATATATTCATAAACGAACGAGCAAACTACAACATTTTACAATATTCTCCATAAGAATAACATGGGAATTTAAAATAAAAAATTTGGTTAACTAAATCATTTGTTTTTTAAGCTCTTTAAAACGGTTTAGAGAGAAATTTGGAAAATTTGTGTTTTGAGAATCAAAAATTAGAAAACCCATTTTTTACCCCACAAAACCCCCCATAAAACCCAGTTCCCATGGTCCGATCATGCTGGTTTGCGAACTCATTAAAGTTTATCCCACTTTACACATTTAAACCAAAATCGGACAAAAATTACTCAAGTTATTGTGTTCACGGACGTTTGTATATGTACATACATACCTATATAACAATTTTGATTGAATGAATGGTGTTTTTCGCCCCTGGGAACATCATAATTTTACTTGTTTATGGATATATGTTGATAAAATTTGGCAAATTTTTTTATTTCATCCTATGCTTTTAAAGAAGGGTTAAGTTTGGTCAAAAGATGCCTTTATTTTACACTAATTTTGTTTACCCTTTACAAAAGGAGTACAGTATGAACTTAACGGTTTTGACCAAGAACTAAGCTTAAAATAACATCAAGCAACAAAAGCAAACAAAGACAAACAACAAATTGTTTTATACACGAAAGATATGTTGTACTGGGTTATCTATCCTGACACATAATTTGATTCTAAGTTTGTTTAAATATTAAAATAATTTGTTTTACATTTGAGCTTTTTAGGGTCTTATGTCCCTACAAGCCACTAGTATTTTAGTAAAAATGTAATCAGACAAGTAGAAATTTGCTTAGTCTGCAGGGTTGCTACGGCGGAGGTATTTGGTTCAGTGCAGACCCAAAACAGATATTCCCACCCAAAACTCAAACATGAACATGTTGACAAAACCAATAAATTCTCCTTATACAGTACTATGAATAAGTAAAAAACCAATCATTTAACATAAAACATGTATAACAATACACACGTTACTGATAATACTACAGTATGCTATACATTACATAAAAAACAATATTGTAATGTTCTGTTTAAGTTCAACAAAAAACTAAAAATCTATCAACATGAATATCTGTCTGCCATCACTACGGCCCACAAGCACACTACAACTAACGCTATACAAGACTCACAATAGTATCAACTGCGTTGACACAAGAATATGGTTAACACTATTAATTTTGTGACTAAGGTTGTTTGATTTCCTAATACTTTAACACCATGGTGGTTAAGCACAGTGATCTTCTGTGAAGAACACAGAGTTAGTGTGTCTCAGACTAGCTCTCCATCAACCCTGACAGGAGCTCATTACTTACTGCTTACTGCCATGGCCACTTGTACCCTAGCTGGTACTTGGCCTCGCCAACACGCTGTCGCCAATAGTCTCGGTCCCATGCATCTTCCTCTACAAGCCTCATCCTTTCCAAATCTTTTCGTACTTGACCCCACCACCTGGCTTTCGGTCTACCTATTGGTCTTCTTCCCCTCGGATTTCCTCTGAGTGCTATCTTCAGTAGACTCTCCTCCTTTCTCCTTAGGATATGGCCAACCCACCTTAATCTTCTACTCTTAACTTCTCCAATGATATCAGGGTCTTGAAATAATTCTCTTAGCTCCCGGTTGTGGCGGATTCTCCATACTCCATCTTCACATACTGGCCCATATACAGGGTGGTAAAAAAGTCCCTGGACAGTTAAATATTTTAAAAAATAATGCAGATAGAGCTACAATACTTGGTACAAAGTTACAGGGCATAAAACTCTATTTTAACACATATTCAGTGATCCAATAACTCTTCAGGGGGACGGCCCACAAGGAGTCGGAAGAAAATCTTAAATGGAAGCATAGGTCAATATGCACATCAAATTAAAGGTCTTTTTTAGTAGAATACAATGCCGCAAACCGCACTTCGAAAGGTTGATCCTGCGCAAAATGACAGTTGTTCAAAGGTTCATTTAATTTACATTGCTATTATACGCTTACTCCTCAGGGGGCACAGCCCTAGGAATCGGAAGAAAATTGTTAACGTAAGCATAGGTCGATATGCACATCAAATTAAAGGTCTTCACTAGTAGATTACGATGCCGTAAATTTAAGCTCAAAAGAATGCCTGAGTAAAAAATGGCAGTCGTTCAAAGATTCAAAATGGCGGATTCAAGAAATCTTTGAACATCTGCCATTTTGCGCAGGATCAACCTTTTGAAGTGCGGTTTGTGGCATTGTATTCTACTAAAAAATACCTTTAATTTGATGTGCATATTGACCTATGCTTCCATTTAAGATTTTCTTCCGACTCCTTGTGGGCCGTCCCCCTGAAGAGTTATTGGATCACTGAATATGTGTTAAAATAGAGTTTTATGCCCTGTAACTTTGTACCAATTATTGTAGCTCTATCTACCTTATTTTTTTAAATATTTAACTGTCCAGGGACTTTTTTACCACCCTGTATAGTTCTCAAAACTTTGTTCTCAAAAGTTATTATTTTCTTTTCTGAGTTCTTGCTCAGGATCCAATTTTCCCCTCCATATAAAAGTACAGGTCTTACTATAGTTTTGTAGATTCTAATTTTTGTCTTTCTCGTTAAAAGTTTTGATTTCATTAGTTCACTGCATGCGTACCAACTCTTATTTGCTAAATTTATCCTATTCTGAATTTCCATGTCTTCCGTATTTTTGTCAGATAGTAGAACGCCTAGATAGGTGAAATTATTTACTCTTTGGAATTCATGGTTGTTGACTTGAAAAAACTCTTCATTATTTCCAGCTTCTCCTCTTGTTACTATCATGAATTTGGTTTTTGCATCATTTATTTTTAGCCCTACGAACTCAGTTTCATTTATTAGTATCTCCGTTAAAACCCTAAGATCTTCTTTTCTTTCAGCCATCAGTACTACGTCATCTGCAAAAGCTAATATATTAATATTCGTTCCTAGTTTTAGTCCTATGTGTGCATCTTTTATTGTTTGTAGTGCTTCCTCTAGAGCAATGTTGAATAGGAGGGGGGAGAGTCCATCCCCCTGTCTCACCCCCGTATTCACATTAAATTTAGTTGCGGTTTCTCCATCTATCTTCACTTTACAACGAGAAAGAACCTTATTGAGACGAAGAACTTATTGAAGACGAAGAAGAACTTTATTGAACACATGTGGTTACTAATTTAATAAGCTTATCTGGTATTCCGAATTTTTCCATTTTCTCCCATATCTTTGCTCTGAATAGGCTATCATACGCTTTTTTGAAGTCTATAAATAAACAATAGCATTCCTTGTTGAACTCCCAGTACTTTGCTAAGCATTCCTTAAGTATAAAAATCTGATCCACAGTGGACCTGCCTTTGGTGAATCCAGCCTGCTGTTCACCGACAAAGGAATCCGTATATACTTCAAGTCTTCTTTGAATAATGACAGGAGCTCATTAGAGACCTTAATTTATGGACATCCCTCGTGCCCAACAAGCTTAAGTCAATAAGTGACATCAGCTTATTCAAACGAAAAATTAAAATATTTCTAATCGAAAAACGTTTTTATTCTGTAGAAAATTGTGTTAAAAATAGGTGGTAAAGAGGTTTGTTACTCATGTGAATGTTGTATTTTATTTATTGTATTGTATTTGAATAATGTGACTCAAGCCATGCATGTTACTGTGTTTTATACGGCAATAAAGAATTTTTGATTTGATTTGATTTGATTATTAGGTAGCAGCAATACAATTTTATAAGGTACTGTATAAGAAGTAAAAAATAACTTACATCAATAGAGATGGCGTGGACACAGGTTTTCAGTTCTTCTGTTAGCAGTGAATTAATTGCTTGATGGCGCTAGAAATATGATATCATTTAAGACTCAACAATGTATTACAAATTAGCGTACATTGCTGCATTGCCATCCTCACAAACAATATAGATAGATATTATATACAATATACATCCGTCACAAGGAAAATATTTAATTGTTAAGAATGAAATAAGGGGTACAGTATATAAGAAATCATTTTTTGCAATTTCCTAAAGAAATGTACAGCGTCCCAGCCTACTTGTTAAATTGTGCTGGCAGCTTTGGCATATACTTGCCAAACAAGGTAGTTTTAGACTGGACGCAACTGCTGTGATCAACTTATACCGTACATCTTTTCTCCTTGCTTTTATACAAAAGCTTATGACGCTGTCGGGAGAAAAAGTCTTCTTACCTTACCTAACAAATTTTACAATTTTACTCTACACCCTTTCCTCAGTGTCTCAACTTTTTGCTCTCGATAATTAATTAATTGAGATACATTCAGGGCAGGGGTTTTCTAACTTTTATACTCAAGGGCCACAATGTAAATTTATGGAGTAAAGGTGAGCCAGTAATATTTTAATCCAGAACAATTAGAGTAAACAATTAGCCGAGTTTTTTACCCTCACAAAACCTCCCATAGCATCCTATTCCCATGGTCTTATTTGCTGGTTCATAAATTTGTTTTAAAAAAACGTTAAGTTTACATGTTTGTACCAAATTTCATCAACATTTTTGCTCGAGTTATTGTGCTAACGGACACACATTTTATATATGTGAATTTTATTGAATGGTGCTTATGGTCTCTAGGGACATCAAAATTAAAAATTAAATCGGTTTTTAGGTCTAGGCCTTATCATGAGACCTACGGTAATAGCTTTTTCCTATATGATAAATTCTCTAAAACAAAAATGTTGAGACAGATGTTTTAAATCAAAATGTTCTATCAGATGGTATAATATTAATTGAATGTCCATAAGAATAACATAGGAACTTTAAGGGCTTATCCCTTTAGTAAAATCATTGTAAAAACTGTTTGAATTTCCATTTTTTACCTCAATAATGAGTAGGCCTATCCCAAATTTAATACTTCTAGCTAGTCTGGAAATTAGAGAATTTGGCTACGATTATACTAGGACGCTGGCGTCCGGGACGCTAGGGGGGCATTAAATCAAATGGGGGCGATTATACTAGGGATGCCAGCGTCGGATGCTAAAAAAGCCACCGGACGCTCGATTTTGTGCCTACCAGCTGGGAGGCTGAAATTCGAGTGTCCGGTGACTTTTTGCCTCCCCGGATGCACAAAATCGGTTGTGGGGCATTGGTTCAAATGTGGCACATTATACTAGGCGGCTAGTATCCGAGACGCTCTCTATCGACATGTACAAGAATATAGGGAATACTCTGTTACCATAGGTCACATGGTGAGACCTGGACGAGGGACCGATTTACTTTTTTCGATTTGATGTCCCCAGAGGCCCAAAACACCCTCTGGTTCATATAGATTTAAATATTGTATATCTGTCCATAAACGCAATAACTTGAGTAATTTTTGTCAGATTTTGATTAAATTTGGCTTAAAAGGTGAAGGGCGGAATAAACTTAAATGAGTTCGCAAACCATTTAGGCCTATGGGGTAAAAAAGGGGTTTTGTCATTTTTGACACAAAAAAATTTCCCAATTTCTCTCTAGACAGTTTTAATGAGCTTAAAAACAAATAATTTAGTATATTAAAGTGTTTTTGTATGGTTATTAGCTACGGAGAAAATTCAAAAAAATATAAATTAAAAATTGCCATGTTATTCTATAGGAAATATTGTTAACTGTTGGAATTTGTTTGCGTATGGATGTATTTTGATCAAACTTGGCCAATTTGTTTTATACTAAGTTATTAATCTACCTATATAAATAAATATTTTACTAGGTATAAACACACTGGGTACTTGTTAAACCTAATGTTATTTAAATAGATATAAACAAAAAGTGACAAAACATTGAAATAAAATGGCAGTCCGAGAGGCAAGAATCCCAACACAAATTACGTCATTTTCGGCTCGAAGTGGGATGCTAGCCTCTCGGACGCCAGCGTCCGAGTATAATCGTAGCCTTATTGATTAGTCAGTCAGTCAGTTAGTGAGTTGGTGAGGACTTTGACTATTATATGTTTCAATACTTCATAAAGGCCATAAAATGTCAGCCCTTGTAGTTCTGATCATTAAGATTGATTTAAAATTACAATTCATCAAGGCATATGGCCTTGTATTTAGATGCCTCCATTACAATGTTTGTACAGCTAATTTATTTCTTTTATTAAGAAAAAGTAGCATATGAGAGACCTGTAATAACCAAATCCAAACAGATTTACAAGTTGGAAACCAGAAATTTAAATGAATTTTGATGGCCGGTATAATCTTTCAATTTTATATTGAATTCCGGTATGATCATTGTTAGCACATGACTGAGACTCCATTTTTGTACGGGTTAAAATAGGGTATTGATTGCTTTATGTTATATGAAAACGACCACATGATATTGCAGAGACCGCAAAATATATGTCAAGAGTGTTGCCAAGACCACTAGTAGATCATCGTCTCCACTATAATATTTGTATTAGCCTATGATACCTTTTGGCAGACCGGAAAAATTAGTTTATGGGCCGGATTATGGCTGTAGGTTGGAGACCCCTCATGTAGGGCACTAGTAAAATGCTTTAATGCAACTCAAATACGTCTTCACAGGGTTCTGTGAGTTGTTAAACATTTATACAACTAACCATGATTAGTTTAACCCTTTCAATGCTATGCAACGATATATCCTTGTGCGTCTTTTTCCAGAAAATTGCTATGGAACGATGTATCGTTGTTTGCGTTTCATCCGAAAAGCGCTAAGCCTTTTGATCATGTGAGTTTAAATGAGCATATCGGTTGACTCGGTTGTAGTTTCGAAACAGCGATGGTTTTTTTTTATTGCTCATATGGTCGAGGCCCAATATATCGTTCCTTAGCACTTTTCAAATGAATAAATTATTTTTACCATTTTTTTTTCTCGCACACTAGACTTTGCCCCCATGGCAAGCCTAGCACTTTTCAGACAAAATAAGTAAATAACTCTAGCATTTTTTGGAAAATTAAAAAAAAAATTGTAGCATTGAAAGGGTTAAGTACATCACAATGTTGTTAAGAGTCCAGCCAAAACGACTATTAAATGTTAGGAAATTATTCACTGTCACTGTGCACAGTAATTATACAATCTCAATAAACAATGGTTTTAAATGGTATACTGAAAAACAAGAATAGTAGGTGGAAGTATACCTTGACAAGAGTCATGTCCTTGAAGAGTTCAGAAACCACCACCATCTTGAAGTGTGTCTCTGCATTAGGAGGAGTATTATGTTTATAAGATTCATTTATCACCTCTAAATGGATTGGTCTTAACTTTTCTGAGAGCTTTTTACGAATTACCATCTCCACTGGGCCACCGGAAAAAGGTGATCTTGACATGGGTATGTTACTTGCTGCAATTAAAAGAACAACCATGAGCAACATTCATTAACTGAAATAAAATGCTGTATAAGCTAAAAGTTAATAACACTAGTTAAAACAATTGTGTAACAAGTGAGTCATTGCTGCTTTGATTCACTGCCTACATTAAATGGCTCAGGAATCTTGCCCATTCTCTCCTCTGACATAACTAGGGTGAAAATTGTGGTAAACTAGCCTAGCACAGCTGAGGAATCCTCAGACTTGGCCACTCCCACAGGCCACAACCTTTACCTGACTTCAAACTTGGCTAGCCTAACTACTTCCACATACTTTAACCCATCCCGGACGGGCGAAATCGTGACATAGAACGGGAAATAATTATAGGAAAAAAAATTAATTTTCCTTAATTGTATTTTGTTATACAAGTATACATAAAATAAACACTTCATACCGTCAAAATAATTTTTTACTCGTTTTTAAATATGCAGATCTGCTACCCGTCCGCGGATGAGTAGAAAAGCAGAGGATATATCCACTACCCGTCTTTGAAGATATGACCATGACAACGTTAGGCAATAAAAAAAGAACAAAATGTAAACAATAAATAAAGACAACGTAGTGTTGAGCGCGAAACGTCGAGGGGGGAGTGTAGGAGAGGTTAGTGGTGCGCGGGGGAGGGGGAGGAGCGGGAGAGGAGTAGGCGCGGGAGAGAGGTGGGAGTGCGGGAGAGAGGGCAGCCATGGAAAGAGCAGGAAAGTGGCGCCTTGGTACCGCGGAACATCTGGTTACTGCTCAAGCACCTGCCAGTCTGTCTGAAGAGAAGGCATATCCGCTTCCCGTCTTCGGATTAGCAAATATAAATTGTTATTATGTTCAGGTTGGTATTATCACTGCACTTTAAGTATACGATATGATAAAATTTGATGACACTAACAACGATTTCAAATACGGAACTAAATTTATAGGTATGAAGGAAGCTTTGGAAAGCGAAGTAAATGTCCTGAATCAATTCTGTATATTTGTGTGTATGTCTATTGGTAACACATTATAATGTCCTTATTTTTCAGTGTTTCGTGGAAAAGACAAGAGCACCTTTGTTAATGAAAATTTCAACCGGAATAAAGTGTTCAATGGTGAGGTTGAGGTAGTAAGTAGCATGACTACTCTTGAACAGTGTGGAAAGTAGCTTTCAATTATAGGCCTACCTTAGGGCTATGCCTCATATATCTATAAATCTGTTTTTTGGCAAAGCATTTGTTTTGGCTTGAAACGGTCACATAATGTATTTGCGAAGGTTTTTATTTACTCCTATAATATTTTTGCCAGCAACCCCCAGCATATATGGAAAAATGCACACTTAATATGCAAACCAACTGCTGTTCTGAATATAAGAAGGTTTAAACTGACTACAAGATCCCCGTCCGTACGGCAGTAGCTACTTCTCTGTATAGGCAAATTCGCTAAAAGCGCAGTACCGTAGTCAAATTAAATGAGAAAGAAAAAGACCATTTAAAATAAGTTAAGTTTGAGTTCAAATGAATACATAAAATTTTAGATAAAAAAGGTCGGAAGCACTACACTACGTTTCTTATCTTATAGTTAGAGATTATAACTTTTCTTGCAATGCATATTTTACCACATTGATGTTGACTTAAAACAGTTTCAATTTTTTTTTTTATATGTATAAATAATACTTAACTTTACTTGACCTTTTTACCAGTTATATTTGTGCAAATGGTTAACACTAAAAATCTTGATTACCTTACTATTATCCAGTGAGGCTTGAATCACAGACTATAGAGTAAACCATTACAGTATTCTATAGTCTGTGCTTGAATTATATTGGACTGATAGTGATAACACTAAATGATACCAAACCTTCAGTTTAAACATAAGTAACCAGGGCAAATATTTTTTAACACTCAGATCATTAATAATTTCCACTACTTACAAGTTATGTAACTTAACTTAGTAAAGTAAAAAATACACTAGTATTGAAAAAAGTATTGAATCACAATGCATATTTTACAAATAAATGTAGAACTATTCATGCCATATAGTATACCATATTATTTTAAATTATACTCTAAGGAATATTCAATTATATTCAAAGGAATTTAAATACCCCCGCTGCAGCAAACCTGCTGACTAAGTGAATTTCCATTTGTCTGAATTGATTTTCAAATCTATTTAAATAACATTAGGTTTAACACCTAGGTTTGCTGCTACAAGGAAACTAATAAAGTGGGTTTTTTAGTAAAATATTAATAGCTTTAGTATAAAGTAAATAAATTTGCCATGTTTGATCAAAATAAATCCATAAACAAGGAAACTACATCATTTTTAAACGACTTCCCCACTACCAACAAAAGGAGGAGGTTCTCAATTTGTTTGTGGCGATGTTTTTTTTTTTCTATGTATGTTCACCAATTTCTCTGTGATTCTTTTACCGATCAGTGTGGTTCCACCACCAAAATAACCAGGAGAGCTTCTATTTGGTACCTTATATATTATGTTTAAGTATAATATTTGTTTCGGTGAATAGTTCTGAAAACCTTAAATATTCAACATTCATTTTGTTTACATTTGTGCAGATTGTTTACATTTGTGCAGAGAAGGCAATAAATAATAATAACATTCCTACAGCTGTTAGTTAAAACCATTTAAATGAAGCTACAGACAGTTTCTTCATGAAACAGTTGCTTCATATTGATTAATAAACTATTTCTTGCCATGGAGACTAAATAAGTTACATTGAAAAAATGCATTTTGTTTTGGTGACTATAAAAAAGGTATTTCAACGTTTGACCTGATTTGTGTATGATTCTGTTTTGAGTATTGAATGTTCTGACTTATAAAAACATAGTGAATAGCTGTATGATATTGACAATTTAATGTGTATTGTGAAAACCAAAGCATTTGTAAAAGAGGTCTAAACATAAATTAGATGCAATTATTCCTTAAACGACATAAGAGGTGTGAGATTGCATAATCGTCAATCGTCTTAAAAGTGTTAAATATTTTTATTACTAAACATGCATTTGAAGACGTGGAGTGTTTATTAATATTCTTCACTGTCTATAATATTATGCCTGCTTCGGAAATGGGAAGCTGATTTGCAATTTCAACTACATCTTGAGCAAACAAAACCACCTACCCCTTACACCACTTTTAGCTGAACCAATCTTTCATACACGTATTTTTCAAAGGTAATATACGTGATAACAACCAATTTTCTACTTTTAAGAGATTTCTTAGTGCTGGTGGCTGAGGAATAACTTTCTTATTGTTCCAAAAGGCTTGAGACATTACTGTATTTCGTTTTATAATGTAGAAGTACACCAATTGCAGGAAACGATGTCTGGCATTTCAATGTCTCTAGGAAAGACATTCTTTTTTCATTAGGCCTAATGTAATGGACAACTCTTTGTTTTTTTTTTAAGGAAAATCCAAAAATGTTAATTTTTATACCCATTGATTATGTAAACTGAACAGGTGACTCAAGCAGTTTAAAAATAATGATTGTTCTGTGGCACTTTTGATTGTTTCAAGCAGTTTTGCTTATCAAAAAACTTCAAGTAATTAATATATAACAAATTATACAGTCACTAAAAATCATGAAATAATTTATTTTTGTAAAAAAATACGACCGACTTCAAAATGCTCTAAAAAGAATGAAATAATTTCAATAAAGTAAACTTTTGTATTAGGCAAGCTCACATATTTTAAGTCGGCGCGGCTCTATGATGATTTTTGATACAAAATTGAAAGAGTGTGTCCATATTGCAGGTGACTATCTATAACTAAAGGTGTTAATCTGCATGTCTTTTTCATAGTTATGCGTTAAGTGTTATTTTATTACCGTCATCAGAAATCGGCATTATAGTGGTATTAACGAGTATCTTTAAAAAGATTATAACATAATATAATAATATTTTAGATTATTTAAATGTTTCTAACTTGGAAAAGTAACGTTTTAATACTAAGCTAGCTTCTTTTCCCTATCATAATATCAAACTAAATTATTTTTCTATTCATATAGAACATTTGTGTGTGTTATTTTCATAATGCATTTATTCTGAAGTAAACATAAAATACAAGAAAATATTTCCTTTAATATATAAACAAAACAGTTCAGTATGTTTTTTATATATTTATGTTATCCAGCTACAATTTATTGATTTTCAAAATACACACACAATATTTAATTTCAATCATATTTGCAGTTTGAGCCGCGCTGACTTGAAATACGTGAGTTTGCCTAATACAAAAGTTTACTTTATTGAAATTATTTCATTCTTTTTAGAGCATTTTGAAGTCGGTCGTATTTTTTTACAAAAATAAATTATACAATATTCTCCATACAAATAAATTGGGAATTTTGGGTTAAACAATTTTTTGAATTTTCTCATCCGTTTTCTCAGATATCCTTTCGGGCTCTGCCCCAGTGACTCTGTAGTTCCCCATGTTAACCTTATGAGTATCTTTACAGGGTGGTAAAAAAGTCCCAGGACAGTTAAATATTTTTAAAAATAATGTAGAGAGCTACAATACTTGGTACAAAGTTACAGGGCATAAAACTCTATTTTAACACATGTTCAGGGATCCAATAACTCTTCAGGGGGACGGCCCACAAGGAGTCGGAAGAAAATCTTAAATGGAAGCATAGGTCAATATGCACATCAAATTAAAGGTCGTTTTTAGTAGAATACAATGCCGCAAACGGCACATCAAAAGGTTGATCCTGCGCAAAATGGCAGATGTTCAACGATTTCTTGAATCCGCCATTTTGAATCTTTGAAAGACTGCCATTTTTTACCCATGCATTCTTTTGAGCTTGAATTTACGGCATCGTAATCTACTAGTGAAGACCTTTAATTTGATGTGCATATCGACCTATGCTTAAGTTAACAATTTTCTTCCGATTCCTAGGGCTGTGCCCCCTGAGGAGTAAGCGTATAATAGTAATGTAAATTAAATGAATCTTTGAACAACTGTCATTTTGCGCAGGATCAACCTTTTGAAGTGCGGTTTGTGGCATTGTATTCTACTAAAAAAGACCTTTAATTTAATGTGCATATTGGACTATGCTTCTATTTAAGATTTTCTTCCGACTCCTTGTGGGCCGTCCCCCTGAAGAGTTATTGGATCACTGAATATGTGTTAAAATAGAGTTTTATGCCCTGTAACTTTGTACCAAGTATTGTAGCTCTATCTGCATTATTTTTTTTAATATTTAACTGTCCTGGGACTTTTTTACCACACTGCATCACTGTATATTGATTTGAAACTGTTTTTCTTTGTGACAGCTAATTTGAGAGAACAGCTGGGCGTAGAAACTCGGTAGAGGTGTCTAAAGAAAGGGCTTGGTCTATAGATGAGCCATCAAAAGAGAAACGTGGTAAATTCCGTTGGGCCTCTGCCCCAGTGGCCTTTAAATTCCCATCCCATGCTATTCTTATGGGGAAAAACGGGTTTTTGTCATATTAATTTGAAACTGTTTTTCTTTGTGACAGCTAATTTGAGAGAACAGCTGGGCGTAGAAACTCGGTTGAGGTGTCTAAAGACAGGGCTTTGTCTGTAGATGAGCCATCAAAAGAGAAACGTGGTAAACTCCCTTGGGCCTCTGCCCCTGTGGCCTTTAAATTCCCATCCCATGTTATTCTTATGGGGAAAAACGGGTTTTTGTCACAACTAATTTCAGAGAACGGCTGGGCGTAGAAACTTGGTAGGGGTCTCTAAGGAAAGGTCTTGGTCTGTAGATGAGCCATCAAGAGAGAAACGAGGTAAATTCCCTTGGGGCTCTGCCCTAGAGGCCTTTAAAGTCCTCTCATAAGATTTGTTTACATTATGACCATATGTATAATTTTACACTACTTTTTAATGAAACAGCTGTTAATATTTAAATTGTGATTTACTGAATTTCTCAAAATGAAGGATTTGAAATTGTTTTTTCTGATTTTAAAATCATCAATCAATAATCAATTTTTTTCTACATTGTGTCATGTTTTGCAATATAATGTTCTATTGCCAAATCAGTGGACAATCCTAATATCACAGTAACTCAATTATTTCTCATGGAGTTAACTTATGTCTTATGTCTATTGTATGGGTTGGTTTCTGCCTTTTTTTTACCACTTCTTGGAGATTGTACGTAGGCATGTTGCACGTAGATTATATTCTTTGGCGTATTGCATCTGTAGACGATACTTGGGTTGGTATAATTATTACAATGGAAAAAAGCGAGAAATCCTGGACAATTTGATATAGGCCTACTAAATATAAAACTGAATTAACACTGTGCTACATTTCTTAAGCAATCATTGAAAGAGCCGATTTGCAAACAATGGAAACATAAGAAAGTCATAGAACACAACCAAGTAGAAGAAATAGAAATAATGTTTTTTTCTTCATTTATAATTGTTATTATAGAGAACCTAATGCGGCTATGAGTGGGAAACATTTGTAGAAAACTCTAAAAAACAAGATCAGCTTTTGAAAAAAGATAAGATATTTATTACAAACAATTTTGATTATATTTAACTGTTGTCTACATTGTGAGTATTTCCATAATCTTTGAGTCGACTTTTATAAAATCATCAGAAATTATTACCGTTATTCGTTTTAAAATAACGCAAGTAATGCTTCGCAATTGCTCGAATTCGAGCAACAGGTACACTAGTCTATATATTCATTTGAAACTGTTTTTCTTTGTGACAGCTAATTTGAGTGAACGGCTGGGCGTAGAAACTCGGTAGAGGTGTCTAAAGAAAGGGCTGGGTCTGTAGATGAGACATCAAAAGAGAAACGTGTTAGCCCCAGTGGCCTTTAAATTCCCATCCCATGTTATTCTTATGGAGGAAAAACTGGTTTTTGTCACAGCTAATTTCAGAAAACGGCTGGGCGTAGAAACTTGGTAGGGGTCTCTAAAAAAAGGTCTTGGGCTGTAGATCAAAAGAGAAACGAAGTAAATTCCCTTGGGGCTCTGCCCCAGAGGCCTTTAAAGTCCCCTCAGCAGATTTGTTTACATTATGACCATGTATAGTTTTACGGAATGGGCACACGGGAGGGACTAAGGCTAAAGGTGTAGTGACGTCATATCTCTAGTGGCTAATGTCTTCCCTTGAGGTGACACAATTACCGTAACGAAACGATGTGATTTCAACGGCGATTGTGGCATAGTTGGTAGCGTTTCGGGTTGGTGTTCAAAAGGTCCCGGGTTCGAATCCCGCTGGCAGCACTAACTTTTTGTCAAACAATTTTTCATATCAGCAAGTTTGGTTGGTTAGGTTAGGTTATGACAGTTTAATTTTATAATACTAAATTTTAAAATTAATTTTATAATTAATAAAAAAATATAAGTAATCATTAATTAGAATTTTATCTTATATAGTTTTTAAATATTATCACCAAGTCTGGTTGGTTAGGTTATGTTATGACAGTTTAATTTTAAAAATTACAAATTTATTTTATAATTTTAAAACAATTTTTTATAATTAAAAAGTTAATTTTATAACTAAAAATATAAAAAAAAATTAATTTAAATTTTTTCAACTTAGCAGTTCTAGCGGCGAACGCTGACACTACAAGATATGTTAGCCTTAGTCTCTCCCGTGTGCCCCACCGTAGTTTTACACTGCTTTTGAATAATACAGCTGTTAATATTTAAATTGTGATTTACTGGATTTGTCAAAATGAAGTATTTACAATGGTTTTTACTGATTTTAAAATAGATTTTCTTCTGCATCGTGTCATATTTTGCAATATAATTTTCTATTGCCAAATCAGTGGAAAATCCTAATATCACAGTAACTCTTAAAATGATTTACTTATGTCTATTGTATGGGTTGGTTTCTGCCTTTTTTTACCAATTCTTGGATATTGTACGTAGGCGTGTTGCACGTAGATGATATTCTTTGGCGTATTGCATCTGTAGATGATACTTGGGTTGGTGTAATTATTACAATGGAAAAAAGCGAGAAATCCTGGACAATTTGATATAGGCGTACTAAAAATAAAACTTAATTAACACTGTCCTACATTTCATGAGCAATCATTGAAAGAGCCGATTTGCAAACAATGGAAACATAGAAAAAGTCATAGAACACAACCAAGTAGAAGTTGAAATAGAAATAATGTTGAATATGCTCTCCTAAATTTAAGTCGAATATCACCGTAAACGGTCCATTTTAATGAGTTTTTGGGGACGTCGGCTTAACCGGAAAAACCGTTATCCGGACTGGCCTCGGTCCTGAGGAGCCCGGATGAGAGGGAGTCTACTGTAAGTAGTTTAGGAGAAAAATCCCTTGACACTTTTTAAAATCATCATGCTCCTTTGTAAAGATAATATAGGCGACGCATGCTGCGCCACTATTTTAAAACTTTTTTTTATTTTTAACTTAACCTATCATCAATTTGCCAATCCTAGCTCAGTTTGAAAACGTATAACCTAGGCCTATATCTTACAAATTGTACATAGCTAAACATAGAGCCTGAGATTAGCCTCCTCTTAGAGAAGGCCACAACATATGCCTAAGATAGTTGGGTAGCTAAGCCACGTAGGCTAGGTCTAGATGAACTAAGGGATAAACGTTTGCCGGGTTGATCCATGTTGGTGAGTACCAAAAAGGAAATTTAGGTAGGCTATAAAAACTGGTTGTAAATCCAAGTTTGGTTGTACTCGAATTAATTGCACTATTTTATTGACACTGATAGGCTAGGCTGCCCTAACTTATAAGTTATCACGTTCACGGACGTATATACATACATACTTATGTAAAAATTTGAACGAATGGTGTTTTTGACCTCTGGGGACATCAAAATGAAAAAGAAAATCGGTCTTGGGCCTAGGTCTTACCATGCCACCTACTGTAATAGCTACTTCCCTGTAGGGAAATTCGCTAAAAAAATATTGTTTGCGCTGCTCCTGGGGGCCAGTTTTTGAACTATTGACTTACACCACTATCATACTGAACATAGGAACTAAATACTCCCGCCACAGCAAACCTGCAGACTAAGTGAATTTCCATTTGCCTGATTGGATTTACACTAAAAGGTCTTACCGTGTCACCTACGCAAATCGCTATTTCCATATAGGGAAATACGCTAAAAGTACAGCTTTGAGGTAAATGAGGCTAAAGCTTTAATTGTCCACACCGGCAGTGTCTGCAGACTATATGTAGACTGTTTGCAAACTGTACTACTTTTGGAGTCTGTAAAGCCTCGTCCACACCGACAGATTTGTTTCCAGAAACATTGTTTGCAAAATTGATTCTTAAATGTTCCTCATTCGTTTGCGAGATCTTTTGCAGACTTTTTGAAAACAATCGAGAAACATTTCATACAGGAGTGTGATGTTTGGAAATAGTCTGCAGTTTGCAAACAGTTTGCATACAATTGACAGACAAATGACAAACAAATCTTGTGTTTCAGGCGAGTTTTCTGTTTTCTGTTCTGTGAGTAAATAACTTAGTATGCTTAAGTGTAGATATATTTCAAGTGTTATAAGAAGTATATCTATTTTTGAAGGTAATTCAAGTTAATAACACAAAAGACGCTGATCAAGAAGTTAACTTATTCCTCTACAACGATGGTCAAAGATTCTATATCAATTATAACATGAAAATGTCATAACCTAACCTAACTACCTAACCAAACTTGCTGATAATGAAAAATTCGAATGAAGGTTTACTAATTGATTCGGTGGTTTCAATCGATATTAAGTTAGCATAGCCCAATTAAGAAACTGTACCCATTAAAAGTAAGCCAGAGTGCTAACTTATCAGATACCAAAAATTACAGTAATGTAAGCCTAAAAAACACCGATTGTAAATCTTGCTAAATAGCCAGTAAGTTAATTTCTTACCTTTTCTCACAATTGATGCTACAGAGTATTGGCCTAACTTACTTACTTTGATCATGACTAATAATTAATTATTATTATTATTAATGACGAATTATTTTATTCGAAATATATAATGGTGCTTCTGCCTAATTTGCTTTGCACAAACTAAGTTAAAGTTACGGATGAATCAATAAGCAGATTTAATTCTAAAGTAACAGATTAGATTTCGAATATTACTAGAGCCTAGGCTACATAATAAAAGGATCTAACTGTAACTGTAGCAGTTGTGGTACATACATACGAACGGAAAATACCTGACACTGAATACTGACACAAAATAGGCCCTACCTGCTAAAGTCACTAACATAAACAAACAACAACTGAACAGGTGATTATTTTGTTTCTGTGTGCGTACCGTCCATCATATAGTCCGGTGGGTGGTGGGGCACACGGGAGGGACTATGGCTAACATGTCTTGTATACTATACTATACTGGTGGCGTTCGCAGAGGCATCCACAAAATTGAGCGGAGTCGTAAAATGCTACCAGTATACTATCGCCGAACATTCACCCGAATGTTTCGCCGAATGTTCGGGTAAGATTGCGACCACGAATGTTGACGAATGTGCAGCCCGAACCATTCCGAACTAACCAAGTACACTATCAGCTAACTTCGGTCGAACTGTGCTGAGGAGGCTGAGCCCAATATTGCGTATTCGGCAAAACATTCGCACCAAACTTTGTGCAACATGGACGCTAACGTCAAAGACTATTCTAGGTAATTATAGAGGAATTTCCGTTTGGTGTTAGACACCACTTGAATGTATCCTAAGATTCTTACTTCTCTGTGGCTTAATAATTTAAAATTAAAGCTTGCTTTTTTTATTAAAATGTTTGTTTTACTAAGCGATACTTAATATATGTATATATATTCAATTAAATTATCCCACGGCCATGGTGGAAGGAAAAAACATAGGTGTGCTATTCCCACATATTCTGACGTCACTCGGATTGCAAACAAAAGATCATCTGATTGTAACTGTCAAATTAGTATGTATTTGTTTTTATTTGAATGTTATTGTTTTTATAATAATAAAAACAATAACAACCAAATCAAAACAAACACATATACTTATTTGACGGTTACAATCAGATGATCTTTTGTTTGCAATCCGAGTGACGTCAGAATATGTGGGAATAGCACACCTATGTTTTTTCCTTCCACCATGTCCCACGGCCACAGAAAAGGCTCACTATGGTACAGTTCCAAAAATAACAGTGTTTCCTCATTAGAACACTCCGTACTTTGTACAATTAATTTATCTATATAAGATCTAGTAGAAAATAATTAAATAACAAAAACTAAAAGTAACTCTTAACTACACAACCACTGCAGTAATACTCCATAAAGAGAGCGTCCGTGACTACGAATGACAGCGAGTGTGTACTGGCTATATGTTCGTGCCCGTCTGCGCTCTGCGCTCGGCAATCGTCCTAGTTCGTCTCCTTTGATTCGCGACGGGAGACCGCCAAAAAAGCGAGCGCACCCGAACACGAATGTTGGCGATGCGAACTACCCCGAACGTACACAAGCACACCGAGTACACTATCGCGTTCGTCTTAAGTTCGCCTACATTCGGTGATAGTGTACTGCAGGCATAAGGGTTCCATATAATAGTTATTGACCTTCACGATCAAGCTTCATAATTATTTTACCTACAATTTCTGTAAAGATAAATATTGGTGTAATTAGATTAGCTACATGTTGTTTCGTAATAAAGGGGAGTAAAAAACACAGAGATGTAATTTTAGGCATTTTCGGAGACCTGCATTTACATTTTAATTTTAAACCCTCAGGGTTAGATTATCAACTTATTCTAAAACAGGGTGGTACAGTTCTAGCTAGTTATAACCATAGATAAAACATACTCCCTTACTTGTGTTGGTTAGTCTATGTTATAACCTAGAAATCAACCCTTTACAGCTTCGGATTTTCTACCATTTTGGCTACTAATAACTGCATAAGAGGGTTTTATGTGATGGTGAGTATATAAGTGAAACTACGACATATATTATCGTTACAAAAGTTATATTGCCATTAACATTTGCATTGATTCAAGCGTTTAAACCATAACCCATGTAACACGTTAATACATTTGAATAATCAATCGGAAGGTGATCGAAGACGAAGAAGCCGTCAAGTTTTGGCTAAAATTGTTGTGCTTCCTAGTCGTCCTTGTTGATCCCGACAAGATCGAACTATTTGCTTCGTAGCGGCATTTCAAACATATTATGAAATCCCATGGTGGAAGGAAAAAACATGGGTGTGCTATTCCCACATATTCTGACGTCACTCGGATTGCAAACAAAAGATCACCTGATTGTAACTGTCAGATTAGTATGTAACAACCAAATAAAAACAAATACGAAATAGTATATTTCGTACCTAGGGCCGAAAATGAGGTTTTGCTGGCTCGAGATAGTTTTTAAGTTTGAGACGAAGTCGAGAACCTAAATCGATCGAGAGCTGCAAAACCATTTCGGTCCGTGGTACGAACGCTATTTTTCACCACACTTTACCCTATTACCACTATTCATCACTATACTAATGCACACTGATAGTCAACACAACTTTAAGGTTATGTGAAGAAATAATTTGAGGAATCAGCAAAAATAAAAATAAATAGTTGCTAGGCAACGGTGACAATAACACAATTCTATTGCAATGCTATGGATTTTGATTGTGTATTTAAAATGCATTCATGTTTTAAGTAAGTAAGCGGACAGCTGATTTTGCGGCCCCGGCCTGTAAAAACCTGCTCGGTCCCCAAATTACGATGACAGCTGGCATGGCCAGCAAAACGTAACTTACAGCCACCAATTAACGTATGTAATACAGCCAAAAACATCATAGTGTGGTGAAAACTAATTTGACAGTTACAATCAGGTGATCTTTTGTTTGCAATCCGAGTGACGTCAGAATATGTGGGAAAAGCACACCTATGTTTTTTCCTTCCACCATGATGAAATCCACAATTACTCAAGGAAACCAGCGTATGGATGTATGTAAATTTTGTTAACGTGTATGGTTTTCATTCAAACTAATTTTATCACTTTTTTTTATAAAAACTAATATTAAAAGTTCTGTTTTTCTCAAGTAAGCCAATCTAAAAAATATCAACTCAGACACTATTATTTACAAAGCTGTATGTATTACCATGTAAACACATACACATTGTTCGCATTAAGAGCCTTATTATGCGCGGCCACTCGAGTCGCTCGCGACCGCGACTGCCAGACGCTTGGGGTAGCGACTGGTGTGGCTTGGGGTAGCGACAGGTGTGGCGAGGTCACGCGTCTGACAGAATTTTTTACAGACATACATGTAGTTTCTCAGAGTAAATAAGTAAAGAAGCTGAACTGTTTATTTTACTTTTGCTTAAGCGTCGTAAACGTAGACGAAAAAAGTATTGGGAGGCAATCCGTTACTAAAATTCCGGTTTTCAGTTTTTATATGATGATTTCAGAGATTACGACAAGATGTATTTTGGTTGTTTCCAGGAGACGAAACGTTCTTTTTATAACCTTTTAGGAAGAATATAAGGCGACTTATCCGTATCGCATAGGAAAATGAATAATTTTATTTCAGCTAAGGAGAGGCTAGCACTTACCTTAAATTAAATATTATAATGGTTTTGATTTGATTTAATCATAATATTAATACTGTATTAGCAGCAAAACTCGGTGTTGCCCGGGTCAACATTGTATTCACAATAATGGTAATAATTGAGTAATAATACAGCCAGTATCTTGAACTTAACTGATTCAAATGGTTAACATCTCGAATGAAAGCCTTTGTTTTGAAGGGTAGGCCTATCAAAATAAAAAATAAATAAAAATCATTTATTCCAGACAAAAAATATGTTACAAAAATTATAATATACATATAAAGGATGGTCCCCACATAGGCAAAGCCTGTGCGTGCGGAACGAGTTGTATCAGTCCATTTAATACAGAATCGTTGATGTCCATTCAACTTATAATCAATTTACAATACTTTATACTACTCTACATATACCAATACATAATTAAAAAGGAAAAACACTTTCACCAGGGGGCTACAGCAGATAACTTAACTTAAAACCTATTTTAAGACTAAGACATGTAGAATAACTAAAATTGGAGTTACGTAAGTGCAATTGTAGGTAAGTGTTAAAATAATTATTATTATTGTTGATTCGTGATTCAGTAGCGTATACGTCCGATATTAATAATTAATAGGTCAAAATTAAAGCTGACATTTCACTGAATGTTCTTAGACCAAAACATATAGGATAATGTAGTCAGAACTGGCGAGATACGGCTTTAATTGAAGTAAGAATTTGGTAAAAAAATCTGATTTATTTTTTTGTCGAATGATACAGTAGATATATGAATGATGATGCTTGGTGGCGAATCTGTTCGTGAAATTAAGACCAAAATTATGAACATCGGTCAGGTAGAAGAGCCGAACCGACTCGGAAAAGAAAACCAATATTTATTGATATATAGGTAATATAATTAAATAAAATGATGAAACAAAAATCAGTACTGAGGCGAGGGCAGAGAGTAGGGTCCGCTGTGGCCCGCGACTGTGGCCGCGCGTAATAAACAGCATATGATAACATGGCCCGCTGGTGGTGCGACAGTCGCGTGGGCTCGCGACTAGTAGCGAGGGTGCGCGACTGGAGTGGCCAGTCGCGGCGACTGTCGCGTGCCTCGCCACCGCAGTCGCGTCGCTTAATAAGCGCCATATAATAACATGGCCCGCTAAATGTGGCCTTTGAGCAGTCGCGGTCGCGCGCCACTCGAGTGGCCGCGCATAATAAGGCTCTAAGACACGTGGTTGTGTTTTTAAAACCCCACAGGATTCATATACTAACTAAAGGACCCATGCTAATCCGCAGCGAGCGTTGAAATAAATATCATATACGAGAAATAATTAAATTAATTTTTTTTAATTGAGTAATACAGATTCTTGAAGATAACTAAATCAAGTGATCAATAGCTCAAATTAAAGCCCTTAATTTACTGATTATTTTGAAAATCTTTATAAATATTTATTTGTTGAAAATAACATCAACAAGAGCAAACAAAGACAAACAACACACTATTTTTTACACAAAAGATGTGTTGTACTGGGATATCCCGGGATATCCATCCTGACACATGAATAATTTGATTCTGAGTTTGTTTAAATAAATATTACAATACAGTAATTTGTTTTACAATTTGTGCCTCCTAGGTCAACTCCACTTCCCCCTGTGTTTCTGTAAACAAGCTCTGCTCTGACGTCACTCTCCAAGATGAAGGTTCGTTAACTGCCTTGTTTGTTCACTTAACTTGTTTTTGTACTGAAAGAAAAAGAACTTTTCTTCTTTTACTTCTCTGTCTAAACTAAACGTATTTTCTAGTTTGGGCTTCTCGAATCTCGGTTTTCTGAAATTAACTTAAATTATTTTGTATTTGTAAACAAAAAACTTAAATCAATCTCATTTCGAATGTTGGTTATGGACAGTACCGTTTCTTTGCATTTCATAAGGTTTGTTGTACTGGTTTCATGGACCTTATGAAATTTGTTGTCAGATCTGAGGATAAGGAGGTGTCAATTTTGCCTGAAATTACTGAAACAGCATCTCCCATGAATTCTGAGGAGAGATTGAGGTAAGAGTGTTTTTAGGCCTTGCCTAGGACTGTCTGTAAAAATATAGCCTACTACGCCTATCAATGGGTAATTATTCCGTATAGGTGCCTCCAAACGAATTTTTAATTTTGATATCTTACTTTATAGGTTTTTACCTCCTCAATCCGGTAATTGTTTAGATGAGGGTGACCAAGCGTTCTATAGTAAGTTATATATCATTAGAAACTAGATTTTTACCTGAAAATAATGGTGCAAAAATGTTTCTGCTGCCACAAAAACTGAATTTATTACGATTTTTTGAAGTTTTTTTTAATGTTTTCTTAGGTACAGTAGGCCTACGTTGAATCTGCACTTCGTTTACACTGTAAAATCAAAGATAATAACCCAAGTCACTTATTGATTAATTATATTCCATTTGAAATTAAATATTACCCTCACAAACCACACTTAGAAAGGTAAATACGTTAATTTAAGCAGGCTATTATGTTATATTCATTTAAATTTAATTAAGATTTAAAATAAACCCCTCACGGGCGGACATATTTAATCTGGATCCGGACTAATGGAAATGGACTGGGCTGGATTATGAATTATGATCATGAAAAATGAAGAAGGCATCAAGAAATAAATTTTCGTTCTTCTCTTCGCTTCACCGAGTGGCTAAGCTACGGTTTTGACCATGTAGCCGTTATGTTCCATTATGATAATAGTGTAGTGGCAGAATTAACCAACCCTACACTAGCCAATATGTTTAATCTATGACCAAACCATTAACAAAACTACTAAACTTAAAAGTAGATTTCCACTCTAGGCCTACATGTGTCATGAATCAGCTGAAGACAACTTTCAGAGTGATTGATTTTGGCCACACCAGAGTGTGTTGATGTTTTTTAATTCAACTTAGCCTAAAATTTAATTTTCACCAGCTTGTTGAAATATTCAAACTAGGGCAAAATACTGACCGTGCTATTAATCAGGTAAATTGATTAATACTTATGATATATCATTCAAAACATTCCTATCACTGAGAGCTATGTCTACAACCAGTCTAGCTCTAATTTGTGTGGCCAACACCAATCGTGTGATAATTGAAGCCATTAACGTTACTACAGAATAGGAAATGTAGTATTTAGTAAGTCATCTCTTACCAAATCTTGTTGAATTAGGTAAAGCCTAATGTAATAATTAAGTTAGTTACCTTAGAGCTCAGGGGGGTAGAGACTCGCTGCCGCAACCCAAAAGTGGTGGATCCTCTGATTTAAATTTGGATATTTGGTTTTGAACAGATATTCGCCCAAATACCCCACAAAATGAGTGCGTTTACGTCCGTAACGGGGTATTTTGTCCTTTACACCTCGCCAGGTTCTTTCTATTGTGTTAGTGTGGGCGTGCGTATGTGGGTTCACAAACTCTATGGAATGGTTAACGGTTTCGTGTAAAAACCCCTCGTTTTCCAAACAGTCATACGCACGCCAACAATCGCTAATTATTTTGGTTCCTGGCAAGATATGCCTTTTAATAATAGCTAATAACGTGTCCCTGTCTCGTTTGTCCACTGGCACTAAAAAGGTTTCCTTTGTCGTTCTATCAATCCCCCCAAACACCCATTGCCCCTCTACCAATCGTCCTCTGTTATATTTCCGCTTACCGAACTTTGCTTCGTCAATCTCAACCACGTGACCAACACCGCCTAATCTAATATCACTGTTGGCCACGTGATCTACAAACACTTCCCTGCAAAAACTGTACCAATCAACTATGCTACTTGAAGACAACCCGAAATTATGCCTCAGAAATGTCTGTCGTGGCGGTGGAACACATAATATGGTTGCTACAATATAAAAAATGTCAGGCAACGAAAGTTTGGCCCTTTCAAAAAAGGTTCCTTTTCTAGCACTCGCAATAAATCTACTCTTAACTTTCTTTGCGTTTAATCTTGGAGCGTATCTTTTCCCACACCTAAATTTAAAATCCCCTTCCAAATCGTTCACCACCAACTCATTACCGCACAAAGGATTGCCGCAACGTCTGGTACGGCTGTAAACCCCGTGATCAACGTAAAATTGTAAAATATTAAATTCGTCTTTCCTTATTGATTCAACATAGCTCACTTCACAACCTAAACAACCACCTGCCATCTAAACTTCACATAAATATATAAAAATTAAATTTAAGAAATTAATCCATAATCCTTCACACTTCCTACCTCTCAAAAACTGGTGAAATAATGCGGAATGATTTAATAGGTCAGATTAATGCTAAACAATGGTTAATTTTCATCACCGCGGAGTATCATTTATTCTAAACGCTGTTTCATAATAAACTGAATGTTACAAGCTGTAACTTGAAATGTTTTATTTACATTAGATTTGAATTTAGCAATCAGCTGATTTACTAATAATAGGTATTAGTTTGTAATTCATTATGGAAAAGGGCCTCTTTTCAAAGTAGTTTGGAATATAAATATTACCATGCATCCAAACCCTTTTAAATATACAACTGGATTATAATCAATGAGTGCTAATTAGTTCTTATTTATTTAGTGCTAACCTATTTGATTAGCCTTAAAAACTACCGTAATGAGACTTATTAGGCTATATAAAATGTATAACCAACATATTGGCACTATTCTAACCTAACCTAACCCAACCAAACTTCTCGGACAGTTTAAAATTAGTTAATTAGTTGAAAAAGACATGTGAGGTTGGTAGGTTGGATGTTATGTGGACTCGTGACTGTATTAAGTCCTTTGAAGGTAGGTTAGATTAGGGAAGTTAAAGTTTAGGTTATAATGAATCGAGTTGTTGATTTATATTATCTCCAGACTGTTTATGCACTTTGTAAAAAGTACTACAAACACAATAAATAATGCGCAGCATTTTTGAAATTATTATTTATTGTGTTTGTAGTACTTTTTACAAAGTGTATAAACAGTCTGGAGATAATATAAATCAACAACTCGATTCATTATAACCTAAACTTTACCTTCCTAATCTAACCTAACTTCAAAACACTTAATACAGTCACGAGTCCGCATTTTTAACACCCAACCTACCAACCTCACATGTCTAAATAAGAACTGAAGTAGTTCATAATCAACGCTCAGTTGAATTTATAAATGCCTCTACCTCTTTGTCCTCTTTGCATAAACTTACTCTTTGTCATATTAGGTTTCTTCTTCTTCCCTAGACGATCCTTTCAATTTCAGTCACTCCGTTCGTTCATGTTCATGTTTGTGTTGGTCAGTCAATTCACAGCAAAGTTATGGCGACAGTGACGAGCCGACAAGAGGCATTACAGTAATAAACTTTAAAAAATCGTAGAAAATTGAGTTTTTGTGGAAGCAGAAAAATTTTTGCACCATTATTTTCAGGTAAAAATCTAGTTTCCAATGATATATAACTTACTATAGAACGCTTGGTCACCCTCATCTAAACAATTTCCCTGAATCCAAATATACCATTATTTTTCACAGCTGATGGATATTTTTCAATATTTCTCCATAATAATATACAACATTACAATAAACAAGGTAGGATGGATGACATTTACAAGTGGATTTAACTATGGGTTAAGTAAGCCAACAGCTAGTAAGTTAATATTTAACCTAACCTAACCAAACCTCTAGAATGTAAGCAAACTCCTTTTAACGTCAGAAAAGGTATGTCAGGGTGGTAGATCGTGCTTTATATGAATTGGTGACTGCATCAAGTCCTTTGAAGGTAGGTTAGATTAGGAAGGTAAAGTTTAGGTTGTAATGTATTGAGTTGTTAGTTAAAGTCGCCTGCAGACTGTTTTTGTAAAATTAAAATCCAGAAAAAACACTTCAAATAACTACATACTTCAAAAATGCAACCCTGAGGTGGCCCCTCGGGCAGGTCCGAGGTTGGTCAGGGTGGAAGTCATCCGTGGTACTGGTATTGTCTCCAGATGTAGAGATGCCACAGTTAGGCTAAAGGAGAACAGGTCTCAGGCTGGTTTGCACGAAAGGCGTCAGGGGAAGGTTCAGCTTGTAAATATTTAGTTAGAATGTTATGTTTCAAACTGGCACTAAACTCCTCGTAAGAAAGTCCATTCCATGGCACTCTGAAGGCCCAGCATTGTTTGTAAGATATTATTTCTACCTGGGCTCCAGTGAGCCTATGAAATTTCACAATATTGGCTGCAAAATGTTCCACTGGTATTCCATCCCGCACACACCCCATGGACGAGCAGATTAATTTATAAAATCTCTTTTTTTTTAAGTCTTCAGTTAAATCTTCGAAAGCTGAATCATAATCTGGATGTTTAGGTTTGGCATTAAACTTGTCTTTTGTAACAAGACCATAGACTCCAGCTCCACCTGGGACTTGTTGAAAGGCAAGATAGTCAAAGCAGTTAGAAGCAAGTGGTTTGCCAAAAAGTCTCTTAAAAGTTAACTGCCACACCAGCTGACATCTGTCTGTGTGCTCCAAAATCTTAAGTTTTAAATTTAAAAAAATCTACAGTATTAACTGCTATGCGGTAAAGATAATTGAAAAAAAAAACATTTGCCCGATGAATATTAGCTTTTTTTAAGTTAACAGCCGACGCTAACATTCTACTCTAGCTTTTGGTATAATAATAGCTGTTAACCTTCCCTGTTTTTCGACACAAATTCAGCTTTTGGATGAAAATGAAATGACATACGTAGAATTTACTTATTTATACTATGTGTAATGCTATAACCATTGATACGTTTATTTAATCGGTAAGAAGATGAGAGTTTATTTAAATATAGGGTGGAGTGGGGTAAGTGTGACAGCGGGGTAAGTGTGATAGCCGGCCATCTTGTTTTTGGGAATCACTGAAAAAAATTGGTTTTGTCATAGAAATAATGTTTGACATATAAGGTATCTAGTTACATAGTTTTTTATCAATTTAGTAACTAGGTACTGTATATGTTGATTTTATTGGTTTTTATAAGTCCGACATTTTAGGTCAAAATCAAAGTTTGTTCGGAAATTTTGTTTAATTTGTAGTTATTTTAAATTTTGACAAA